CGTTTAAATTATGTTCTAATATGTATAATTTGTTGAAACTGAGCTGGAAAAATTAATATAAAAGTCAATTCAATTATAAAATATGAGGTAAAGTTATTTTTTTTATTTGTCCATTTATAGATTTCTGCTTTTATTTTTAAGTCTGTCAGTTTCAGTCTTCCACAGTCTTCAGTAAGATTCTGTTGTTAAAACTGTGTCTATTCACAGCTTGTGGCGCTTTAGTGAAAACTAAAATAACTTCACAGCACAAAGCTTTCACTCTGTGCGTGTGTGTGGACATGTCTTTGTTTTGGTGTGTGGACATGTTTTGACATGCTTATGAGGACAATGTGTCATTGTGTGGACATTTCCCTGGTCCATGGGGAAAAAAAAAACATTTGTGGGTCAGGGATTAGTTTCAGGTGTGAGGTTAGGTTACAGGTTACAGGTCAGGGTTAGGCTGTAGAAAAAAATGAAAATCAATATAAAATCCACACAAGGATACAGAGATAAAAGTGTGTGTGTGTGCGTGCGTCCGTGTGTGTGTGGGTGTGTTTATCAGGGATTGATGTGTGACAGACTAAAGTTGTGACTGCTGCTCTTTAACAGTAGGAATGAGCATTCAAACCACTGCCAGTGATGTCATGTTTTTGCACAGCTGCATTGTTTCTGTCTAATCACTCATCCTCAGCTTGTCATCTGCAAATATAGTTGTGCTTTTCACAATTTTATCAAAACTAGCATTTTGCACAACAAACCAAACCTCGGGGTGTTTTTTAAATTTTAATCCATGTCGTGACAGTTATTTTGGAAACACGTGTCCTCTTTGTTTCTGAGTTTCATCAGGAGATAGATATCAACATTTTGAATCTAAAGAGGACTAAATACAATGTTTGAACTGTAAAACAATGAGCCTCTCACCTCATTCAAATATATCAAATAATAATGTTAAAACAAGATGAAGATTTAATATTTTCATGGTAAGAAATATCTTCATTTAGAGAGCTACAGAAATTGTTTCACAATATAAAAAGGATTTCAGCCGGTTGGGTTAAATGCTGTAAAAAAATAAGGGCAGTTTTATCTTCTGCCTTTTTAGAAACTCACTTTCTTCTGATATGCAAATTTATAAAAGATTTCAGATTAGCACCCGGTGCTTGTGAACTGCATTGTCTGATCATCTTAGAGATAAATGACCGTATCAGTAAATTTWTGACAAACTGACATTAAAATATAAAATAAAACTATATCTGAGAGATTCTGTGATACAAACATTACACGTATAAAGATTGCATAAACTTGAGCTGTTGGTAATGTCAGTGTATAACRTTTTAATGGTATAAAAACCAACAAAAAGATTTAGATTTAATAAGAAAGTCACTGCGAGAAAAACAAGAACACTTGTCAGGTTTTATAAAATCAGCCGATTTCATCTCCTTTTTTAACTCAAAATAGCAAAGTAAACACGTTTTCAACCTATTCCTTTAACTTTTCACCTCTCCTCATGGTTTGAACTAAGGATCATTAAATTAAAAGTCTCTGTTTTCTTGTCCATGTCCAGCTGAGAACTCAGGAGGCGCTGCCAGAGACCAGCTTGCTGATCGCAGTCTCCTGATGTCCAGCGGTGCTTCTGGATCCTCGAGAGCRGCAGCCAATCAGCGCCTGACAGCGAGGAAGCGCAGCAGCCAATGCCTGCTGTAGACTTTTAAGGAACCAGCCTCAATGCTACGACCTCTGACCTCTGCTAAACCAGCCAAGTCCCTCCGCCCACCTCCCCCCATCCCACATATCGACCTGCCCAGGCTCCGTCTTTTCCTCCTTTCCTTACCTCCTCCAAGCAGTACAGTCTGCACCTTGAGCCTCACCCTCCCACCTGTTTGTGACTTTCTCTCTCTCTCTCTTTCTCTATCTCTCTCTCTCTCTCTCTCCCCTCCACCTTCCCCTGTTGTTGTCTTTTAGTGAACAGAAATCAGAAACAGTCCGCAGTGTTGGCCTTGTCGTGTGTGCAACAGAAAGTTGAGTAAAAAGTGCTTCTGGTGGTTTCAGTAACGTACATCCTACTGATGGATCTGTCTCAGCTGCTCATCTGTGACTTCACACGCTGTCATTGTTACAGATAAAATCACACAAAGCTGGACAGCCTGTGAGCGGAAAACAAAAAGAAAACAAAAAAGATGTCCGTGCATGTTAAAAATGGTTTGAGAGAGGAGTTCTGCACACGAAGTTTGACTTGATCTGTTTGAACTGCTCGCTCGAAGACAGCTCACCTGCGACGTTGTCCTCCATGGCTTGTGTTTTTATTAACATCCTTTTGCAAATGCAATGCAAAAAAAAGTATTTAAAAAAAACGACCTCATAAGCTATCATTACACACGATGGAGGAATGTAGGTAGGTTGTGTCTATTTGTGGAGGAAGTCAGCTATTAGCCAATGTTTATTAATAATCTTAGCAAAGCCAGAGAGAAGTTCTGTTTAAGACCCGAGCTGCTTCGTTTAGGTCCCAGCTGCTGACCTCAAACTGCAAAGTATTTAACGAATCTAAGAACGTGGAGCCATTAAAGTTAATTGTTAATGGACCKGAACCAGACTTAACACACGTCCCCACTCCTTTTGAGCACGTGCAATAATATTTCTTCAGTAATTATGCTACACTGGGTTAGAACTCACTCTTATTTATTCACGGTTTAAACACAACTGGTGTTAACGATTGTACTCCTGAGTGTTRATGCATGAACCAGGTTGTACCTGAAAACCGACACGACGGAGCAGAGAAATGCCAAAGTTTGAACCTTGAACTTTTCAACTCTGACCTGCCTTATCCATGTGAATGGTAAAGCCCAGATTGGATCAACCACAGGGTTACCAATATGACTTTTTATTGATTTGTAGCTTTAAAAAAAAACAGGTCTTTAGAACTATAGAGACGGTAACCGTTAGACAGGTGGTTCAGTTTACTGAAACTRTTTATTTGGACCAAAACTTATTTTCTTATTTCAAGTTATTTTTTTCTTGGTTCAGATTGTCAAAGCATTCCCATGGTAATGGCGAAGTAGATTAATAAGTTCATGCAAACTTTGGCAGGCTGTTGGTTTAATTATTGTCCCATTATTCAGTTCAGATTCACGTTTATTTCGAGTTTTGGTGTTTTTTTTTTGTTTTGTTTTTTTGCTGTAAATATGCCATTTTCAGCTGTAAATAACCTGCTTTCATGTATGAATTTTTTAGTGTGTGTGAGTGTGTGTTTGTGTGTGTGTGTGAACATCCAACATTTGCTTTTGGCAAAGTTGATTATCTGGGTAGCTGTGCAATAGCTCGCTTTTTAAAAATTTTGATGTTAAACATCATTTATTGATTTTTGTGCGTCCTTGCTTTTCTCTACCTCTCATGGTTTTTTTTCATGTGTGTGTGTGTGTGTTCGAGGATGAAGCCACTTTTAATCAATTAATCACATGGGTCGTATCAGATTAGTCCAAACTATGCCTTTATGATATTGAATACACTGATCATGAATCACAAAGCTCTGGTTAATGTTGCTTCGCTTGCCTTTAAAGTTAGCCTGAGAGCGTTTTCGGTCTCAGTGGTAGAAATGGCCTTGATAAAGCTTGTACTTGATTTCTGCTAACTGAGGTTTTTTTCACGTTTGGAAAAAAGAAAAAAAAAGAAAGAAAAAGAGGAAAAAAGTTGCCAAGTATTTTAAAGGTGGTTCAGAAGGAGYTTGAGTTGATTGTAAAGCTCAAACTCCACCTTGTTGGAGTGTAAACAAAGCTCTTTTTTTTGTCTCTTTTGCTTTTAGGGAAAGAACCAAACGGYGAATTAAAGCAATGTATTGTTGGTATTGAGTTGCATATGTATATAGTGCTATCTGGTTGGTGCAGGTTAGTTCTGCGTGTGTGCATAATGAGCTACTAAGTAAGCCTACTCAGGACTCTGTACTGGTCCTGTCTTTGGTGTGATGTATTGGCRACAGTATTAGCAATGAAGATGTTTGAGAAAGAACAAATAAAAAWTTGGAAAACAATGGGTTTTTCTGGTTATCTTTATTTTCCTCTAAATTCTGTATTTATTTCAACAGGTTTTGGTCAAAACAGATATTTACCTATCTATAGGATATGCAGAGTAGTTAAGAATAATCATTATGTTACCTGTCGCTAACAGCAATTTGGAGGAGTAATATTTTATTTACCTCAGAAGATGAAACTCAGGGCTGGGAATAACATCCCATCCTATTTATCTGTTTCATCTGCAAGTTAAAACCAGTGGGATTAGCTAATTGTTGCGATCACTGAGCAGATAATGCATTCCTTTGCATACAGACACAGCTACATCCTCACTAACAGGTAGGATACAGTGTGGCTCATTTACTTACAGAAGTGTTTAAAAGGTTAATTGCTGCAACTGTCACCAGTTTTTATGTTTTTAAGCCATGCTGGATTTTAAAGATAGGGGTTGAGCAGAAACATCCGGGCAATTTCTGGAGGCATTCTGATTGTTTTTGTTCTCAGGAATCAGAAATTCCAATTCCAATGTAGCATTTAGAACATACATAAAGGATAAAAAAGATTAGAAAGACATCATTAGCATTCCTTATTCTCTATCGACAACTTTTTCATTTATTATWTCTTAAAGATTGTTGGATAAACTCATTATCAACACACAAGGAATGACGACCAAGCAGCAGATCTGGTTGAGCTCTCTTTTAAGTAAGTAAAGTTTATTTATATAGCACCTTTCTTAGACATAAAATCACAAAGCGCTTCACATAAAATAAAATAAAACAAGAAAGTAAAATAGTAAATTAAAACATCACCACAGCATTACATTCATACAAGAATTCGAGTAGAAAAAAAAAACACTTGCAAGGAGTCCAAAATACAGACAAGGTACTAACATACAGTTGTCAGTAGCATGAAGGGAATTTCTGTACAGCAGTCAGGTTTTTAAAGAGTCCCTTTCAAAGTGTCCTCCTGTTTACGACCACGCAATCTCCTGTTTTCCCAGGACCTCCAGTTCCTTAACACCAACCCGTCTAATGGCGGGTCGTCAAAGTAACTGAACTCCATAATCTAAATGACCAGTTTRTGAAGTCAAAGATCAACATCTGTGTCTTCACTCTAACTTCACAACTGAATACAATAAATGAAGAGGACATGTAAAAACAAAACACAGAGCAAACATTAATACATAGTGTAATTAAATGAACCATATTTTAAATCACAATTTAACCAACAATGCATTTTTTATCAATCAAAACAGGTAAAAAAAAATCAAACTATTTGACTTTAAACAGTAAGTGAAGTTGACTCTCTGTTGCCCTTTCCACACCAAAATGAAAGATTACTGAAAAATTCAAACTTCTTTTTGGTTTTTTGGCTTTAAAGTTGGCCACCTGTCAGGAGAAGAATGTGACAAAAAGAGAAACCATAAAACTGTTTCCCATTTAAAGCATTACCTTTGGGGTCAGAYAAAATGGTAACAAGGGCCAGATTTGGCCCGGGGGCYTTGAGTTTGACTCGTGCTCTAAAACCGCTCAAACTCAAAGTTTTCATCAGTTTGAATAAACAATATATTGGGTATAATTACAGATGAGATAAAAGCTGTTTAAGATAAGATTTCAGGCACTTGTCYTTATACATTCACCAATGTTCTGTAAGCATATGAGTTTTGACCAACAAACCACAATCCTTTTTTCAGAATCTGGACCCTTCGTCTGCAGACACACCCTGGGGTTCATTCTTAAATTACAGCAATAAGGTGAGAAGTCAGAGATCCTGACAAGCAAAAACACGCAAAGGAATTCTTTTCTGCTGACGCTACGGTGCTCCTCAAGTTTTAAACAAGTGGGTCAGGAATGATAACAATAATGATGTAAACGTTAAGGGTTGTGAAAGTCATTCTGAACAGAGTTCATTATCCATATCTTATCAGCAAAGTGTTATGTAAAAACATTACATCTGGTCATTTTTTAATACAAACTATAAACTGAAATTTTGGCTGATTAGCAGAGGAATAAAACAAAAACACTGAGTTTAGTGTGTTTTGTTTCCCAACGTAAGAGTACCTTTAMCAAATAAAATCCCAGCGTATTAAACCCTAAAAAATAAAAAAATAAAAAAAAAACAGAACACAGGCTGGTATTAGGACCAGTATTTTCTGTCTTTATTTGCAAACAAGTTAAACTTTGTGCAGTGGATCCTCACACTGGGTTCTGCAAAGCATTTTTAAACATGGCTGCAAATTTCAAGTTTTGGTTTTAGCTTTAAAACGGCATGGCACTTCTCGTTACTCCTCTTTTTGTCACAACTCCTAAAATCTTATACTTATTTTAGGACGAAACATTACAGAGTCTCAACGGTAAGGAAACGTTTTCAGACCAACAGGGTGTATGCAAGCCTCTTTTTACACACCTGCAGAGAATCAGCTTTGACCAGTTTCATGCAGAAAACATAATACAGCAAAAAAAAATTTTTTTTGAATGAAAAAAATATTACATTTTTATGAACACCGAAGTGAACAAACTGTACATTTAAATTCATGGTAACATTTTATTCTCATAGCCCTCTGAGGATCACTAGCAGGCTGCAGACATTAGAAGCAGCTCAGAGAAACGGTGACATGTCTGCCTTTAACCGTCACACACATACAGTACATTCATGTTTGATAAACCCAACTGAAAACAAATCGTCAAATTTAAATAGAACCTGAGACGCTGCAGAACAGGAGCTGCTGCAAAGTTAAACACTTCAATCATCACGTCCACTTCCAGGAGGGAGAAAAATGCTCAAATTTATGTCGGGAGGGGAAAAAATAAAAAAACAAGGCCAACGACAGAAACCGAACACATGTTCCTCCAACATTCCTCATCTGGATGTTTTCAGTTCAGTTTATGAAACAGGTCAAACTCTCGCCGATGAACATAATGTTCACAAAGCAGGACATGTGACTCTACACGTGGCAACATTTTGATACAGAACTTCCTTTTTTTTTAATCAACGCCACAATATTGCACTTAAAGTTAAACAGTTCAGTTTGTTGCTACAGGTTAACAGTCATTCATTAATAATATGCCAGAAAAACATGACGACAAAAGATGCACAAGTTACAGTTCGACACCAATTAGGTTTTTGAAAATTTCTGACCTTCTGATCTAAATTTTTCTACAAGAACAGCAAGTTTACCTTAAAAAAACATAGAATAAATATTTGATTTGCCAAACTGATCATTAAAATTTTCTATAAAAAAATAATCAAAAGCTTTCTACAACAATTTAAGGTAGCGGTCAATAACAAAACAGCAGGGGCCATACAATTACAAACTATCAAGTCAATATTTTATTTGACTTTAGTAGCTTCAGTTTTGTTGGTACCCCTTCAGCTCACTGAAACACTTTGTTTCTTGTGAAACATGATTTAGTTAAAAACAACTGTCTAATCAGCGTATCTTTAGTATGTTTGTGGGTATAGTTCTTTGGACTTCTAAAGCAAGTGTTAATCCTCACATTAGTCATGTTTCAAAATCAACTTTTGAATTTAATTAGCATCACAGACATTCAGCCGGTTTAAAGGATACAAACAGCTACAGRGTAGTTTGGTATGTGTGCACCACACCGAACATGGAGCAGAGAAAAGATAGGAGCTGAGGAGCTCATGATGATGATTAAAGAAATTTGTTAAAGAAAAAGGCTCGAATATCTAAAAGCGGCTTCTTGTTCTTGTGACCACAGCTGCCAAAAGGTGCAGGTTTCATAGGATTGGAGCCAACATAGGATGTGGATGCAAGAGGACAATGCAGCCCCAGGTTTGAAAGAGCAATTGTGTGGATGGAAGAAATAGAGCCAAGAAAAACCATCCAAAGTTTTGCAATCTAAACTCCAAGTGTGTCATTTTTCTGATCACACCATCCGCTCCACTTTTAGCAGAACAACACAAAAAAGGCCAGACTGGAATTTAATAAAATGAATACTGAGAGGTCCCAAAGTTTCTGGGACTGAGACACAACTGGAGCTTTCTGATTATTGTAGGTTATCAACAAATTTATTCATGTCTAAACTTCACCTGACTTTCTTTCTTGTTTGTCTTTTAAAACAAACACGCTTTACAAGGTGCTAACTTTGGGTTTCTGTGCAGTAGTAGGTGTTTTAAAATGATGCATTCCCTAGAAAATAAAAAAATCAGAGTGCATGATTCGCTGCTGGCTGATCAAGCGAGACACAAAAACATTTTTTTAAGTTACATTTTTGGCTGATTCTGCTCACATGGCGAGCAATCGCTCCATCTTTCATCTAAACATTTTTAAAAGTGAAACACAGTATCATTCAAAATCCTATGAAAACTTCTTATTCAGGTCTTTTACCTGACAGATAACAGGTTTACACAACAACATGCACCAAATTMTTTTTTTTTTACACTAACTTGAAAATAATCACAGCACACAGTGGTTTAGACAGTCTCGTGTGTTTGTAGTCGTTATCAGTAAAAGCCACAGCACGGGTCTTATCTCTCCCTGAACCTGACCCGGGAGCACAAAGCACCCTTACCTGCAGCCGTTTGAGTTCAGCTCACCTGTAAACCTGTTTCAGTGCAACATTTGGCTGAATGAGATCACATTCGTTGGCTATAAAGACACAATAAAACCGCAGAATACAAACATGCTTCTCTTTAGGAGCGCAGCAGAGCTGCTGAGCGGAGGCTTAGATGGGCTTGTAAAGCAGAGACGTGACGTATTTCTTTTTATATCTGTGAGTAGCACTCAGGACCATGACTCCATCCTACACAAGGAAAAAGGAAATGAGTACAGCTTCTAGAATTTAATGATCTGATTTCTGCCATCAGTAAACCAACCTTTATTGAAAGAGCATAAAGGTGGTTTAGCATCACGTGGTTGGGCTCAGGCAGCAGAGCAGGATCACACTAAAGCAAAGGGAAAATAAAAAAATACAGAGAAAGTTAGCAGTGACCAAAGCTTTTAGACAGACGTGTAATAATAAGGCAGCTGGAGACACTGACTGAAACGTTGGTGTCCTTGTTAAGGATAACTTGAAGCAGGTGCGGTGGGAGAATGGGCGGGGCTTTGAGGTGCTCTTCGGGTCTGAAGATGTACTGCTCCTGACCGTAAGGACCCGGAGGAGAGCTGGACAGGTCTGTGGCGAGAAAAAGACAGCTTTGGAGTTCAAACACTGAGATCTGCGTTAACTTTGTCATGAACTGATATGGATGACGTCTCGGTTGACCAAAAAAAAACAAAAACAAAAAAAACAGCACAAACAGGAAATGACGGTCGCTGAATTCGGGCTCACCTGATGTGTCGGAGCACTCCAGAGAGTCGACCTGCAGAGCGTCAAACACCTCGAAGTCAGACTTCTTCACTATGATCAGGTTGTTGATGGTGCCCAGCTGGCTCGTTACCACCGGCTGTAAAACAGAGCAATGACCACACATTTATGTCAGGGACCATCTATTCACAGAACTTCAAGGCAAGCCCACGATGAAGGATTTTTAAAAACTATACCTTGTTTATAAGACAATTCTTACACATTTCATACAAGTGTATACACACTGATTTAGCCTAACGCAGATGCTTTTTTATTGGTATTTTTGGAGGAGATGACTTCCTGGTATTAGCTGCAGAGGAGGACTGGCTGTCTTGCCACTCTCGCACAGAAGCCTTTAATTAATACTGTTCACGCTCACTGTGGCGTCTAATTTGCACTTTCAGAATGTCACACCAGCGTAAAACAAAGTGCTAATACACACGCTTTCCTGTTTGTGTGCTAGGAAGGAGAGGCAAAAGAGCAGGACCTGGCTGTTTACACGCCAGCACATTTAGCAGCTCACTGAGCAGGCAGTCCACTGAACATTGATACAGCGTATCAGCGTGAAGATGCTGAACGCAAACAGTTCAGTCTAGCTGGGCAAGCAGCATCCACCTTGATCTCTCTGATAAATCATCCCCATCATCAGTTCACTCCTCTTTCCAACGAGGCTGGGCCTTTCTATTAAATATTTATTCCTCTCTCGCTTTCACCTTAGTCATCACTTCTTTTTCAACTGTGTGATGGTGATAAGCAGCAGAAAGGAACTAATCTATTCAAAATCTTACAAATGTTAAAAATCAGGGGTGGAATAGATGTAAAAATGCAATATTTGTTTACCGTAATAAACAGAATTTAAAACGCATCAGTAAGACAGTGTTTATTTTACTTTCTATTTAAATGTTGCAGGTTTGAAGTAACTGCTTTGTGTTTTACGTCCCGTGGGCCCGCTTCAAAGGCTTTTCCAGTGATTAGTCTGCAGCGGGGAGAGAATGAAAGGAAATTATTTACGGTCAGTGGGGGGTTGGGGGTTGCTTCTCCACCCTGAAGTGAGGCTCAGAGTAAATAAATCTCATAATTTTTATACCTCCGTATTAAAAATGCAAAAGTAAAATCAGCTAAACTATTAGACGAAGTTAAAAAAATAACAGTATAAGGCCTTTTAGCTTTCATTTTTATTTTTATTTTTTTAGATTTACAAATCCTAATAAAGTGCAGCGTATAGAACAGCCTGCTTTTTTCCTCTCTCCTCACCAAACTCCACTCTTTTTTGGTGAATAATGTGCAAGTTTTATTTTCTCAATCAGCATAAAGACTGTGCTGTTCTGGTGATCTAGTGTTTATTTTTTATTTTTTTTTTCTTTAAATATTGGGCAGCCTGGAAGCACAAAAAGCAGCTCTGAACAGCTGTCTATCTTTGATTATTGTGAGAGCCTAAATGGAGGTCTAAATAAATATTTTTTTGTGGTGACGGCTCCGTTTGGTTTGTCCTATAATGTATGTTCTGCGTTTTCTTCCGACATGCAAGAACAACCCATCACTGTGGCCCAGGACAGCAAATTCAGCAAGAACTAAGAATACGAAGAGGAATGAAAAAAAAAAACCAACAAACCAGTAGTTTAAAGTTTAAAAACTGATTTGAAACTGCACAAAAACAAAGAAAAAAAGGAGGCTTATTAAAATGCTAGTGTCATTAGTTCAAGGCAACTTGGCTAAAAAAAATCTGCTTTACCTCATGAACCATGAGAAAATATTTATTTATTTATTTGTCCCATTTGAGATGAAGCACAGCGAACAACTCAGAGCAATGTATTTAATGAGTGATACAATCTTAGGTTAAAAAAACAATGGTTTTTGGTTTTCAAATTGGGATTTGGCCGATAGCATTCAAAAAGCAGACTCAATGATTATGAAAGTGACAGAGCTGTACCTCTGAGGGATCATGTACCCACTGTCCATCCACGAAAAACTTGTACTGGTGCTCTCCTTCAGGCAGGTCCAGAATGGCTACAAAGTCATTATGGCTTTAAAGAAAGACAAAAAGAGCAATAATCAGAAAAATTTTAGCGCATATACAGTTAGATCCATATATATTTGGACAGAGACAACATTTTTCTAATTTTGGTTCTACACATTACCACAATGAATTTTAAACAAAACAATTCAGATGCAGTTGAAGTTCAGACTTTCAGCTTTAATTCAGTGGGTTGAACAAAATGATTGCATAAAAATGAGGAACTAAAGCATCGTTTAAACACAATCCCTTCATTTCAGAGGCTCAAAAGTTATTGGACAGATTAAATAATTGTAAATAAAATGTTCATTTCTAGTACTTGGTTGAAAACTCTTTGTTGTCAATGACTGCCTGAAGTCTTGAACTCATGGACATCATCAGATGCTGAGTTTCCTCCTTTTTAATGCTCTGCCAGGCCTTCACTGCAGCGGTTTTCAGTTGCTGTTTGTTTGTGGGCCTTTCTGTCTGAAGTTTAGTCTTTAACAAGTGAAACGCTCAATTGGGTTGAGATCAGGTGACTGACTTGGCCATTCAAGAATATTCCACTTCGTTGCTTTAACAAACTCCTGGGTTGCTTTGGCTTTATGTTTTGGGTCATTGTCCATCTGTAGTATGAAACGAAGAACAATCAGTTTGGCTGGATCTGAGCACACGGTACGGCTCTGAATACCTCAGAATTCATTCACTGCTTCTGTCCTGTGTCACATCATCAATAAACACTAGTGGCCCAGTGCCACTGGCAGCCATGCATGCCCAAGCCATCACACTGCTCTGCTGTGTTTTACAGATGATGTGGTGCTTTGTATCATGAGCTGTACCACGCCTTCACCAGACTTTTCTCTTTCCATTATTCTGGTAGAGGTTGATCTTAGTTTCATCTGTCCAAAGAATGTTCTTCCAGAACTGTGCTGCTTTTTTAGATTTTTTTTTAGCAAAGTCCAGTCTAGCCTTTTTATTCTTGATGCTTATGAGTGTCTTGCAGCGTGCAGTGAACCCTCTGTATTTACTTTCATGCAGTCTTCTCTTTATGGTAGATTTGGATATTGGTACTTCTACCTCCTGGAGAGTGTTGTTCACTTGGTTGGCTGTTGTGAAGGGGTTTCTCTTCACCATGGAGATTATTCTGCCATCATCCACCACTGTTGTGTTCCATGGGTGCCCAGGTCTTTTTGCATTGATGAGTTCACTTCTTTCTTTCTCTTTCTTGCTTTCTTTCTTTCTTTCTTTCTCAGGATGTAACAAACTGTAGATTTTGCCACTCCTAATATTGTAGCAACTTCTCAGATATTTTTTTTTCCTGTTTTTGCAGCTTAAGGATGGCTTGTTTCACTTGCATGGAGAGCTCCTTTGACCGCATGTTTACTTCACAGCAAAACCTTCCAAATGCAAGCACCACACCTCAAATCAACTCCAGGCCTTTTATCTGCTTCATTGAGAATGACATAACGAAGGGACTGTCCCCACCTGTCCATGAAAGAGCCTTGGAGTCAATTGTCTAATTACTTTTGGTCCCTTTAAAAACAGGGTGGCATATGTTAAGGAGCTGAAACCCTTCATCCAATTTTAATGTGAATACCCTCAAATGAAAGCTGAATGTCTGGCCTTTATGTCCACGTACATTATATAACTATAACTTGAAAATGTTTCAGTAAACAGGTAAAAAGACTAAATTTGTGTCAGTGTCCAAATATATGTGGACCTAACTGAATTTACATGAAATCTGTAAGTGATGCCTCTCTTAAAGCAATGACAGTTACAGAGAGTTCACTCACGCAGGACTGTAAGATGTCTTCTGCAAAACCATCCTCTTTACCTCTTATTTAGCGGTATCTTTGTGTTCCAGTTATTGAAGGAACCGGCTATGTAAACTTCTTTTCCCCCTCCAGCCCAGCGGATCACTGTGGGTCGAGCCTGAGGACCAGTTTTAACCAGATCGTCCATGTCAGGGGTGAACTCTTTGTCCCCTGAGACCTGAAAATAATAAATATTTAACCTTTATTAAGGATATTTTGAAATGTTCTTACAGATGAATTAGATCATAATTTAGTTTGAATTGCTGGAGGTACATTGGACTCAGGTCCATGGGTATTGAAGATGTTGGGGTCATCTGTGCTGTCCACCATCTTGCTGCTGGATTCTTGGTCCTTGTGACTCCCACTGCTGTCGAAGCGTTGGGCCTTCCCTCCATGGCGATCTGCAGACACTCGGTCACTGGTGTTGCCCATGGTGCCTCACTGAATATTATGCCACTAGAAGAAAATAATAAACAATATAAGACAATTACTTTTTGTATGTACAACATGTTTCACTTGCTTTAAATTACGCTGTGTAACTAATATTAAAAGAAAGTGACATGATTTAAATTTTTAAAGAAGCAGATAGGTGCTGTAACATGTATGGTGGCTGTTTAAAAGTGGAAGACATTTAGACAAAACTTTAAAGAAATGAAGCAATAATCAAGTATTAGTCAGTACGAGTCACATTGTGTTATGATGTGGAAATAACAACATGGCCACACTGACTAAGAACATGCATTTTGGTGATTCACTGTATCCAAAAGGTTTTCCACACAGATTATGATGCATCTGTTTTCAATTCATACTGTTTTTATCTGATCTTTCCCCAAACTTACAATATGTGTTTGTGTTGAGGCTTTACATCAAATAATTTGATCAAACTTAATGTTTTGCTAACAAACTTAAAAAAAAAACTGTATATCCCCACCTTATCCACTTCACTCAACTGATATTTTGTTAATAAATGTTTTAGATATGGAAACTGTTCTTGACACTGCACAACCAGCAGCATGACTTCTCTGAATGTAGTTCATACTGTTGCTGTAAACACAATATATATTTAGTCTAGCTGACACTTTACTCTTTACTTCTTTAAGGTTTTAATCTAGCCTTAAGATTAAGAAAGAATATCGAAGAAATTCTGAAATTTAATACAAATATCTCATGTTACTACTTGTGTGATAAACACTGACCACAATTCAGTTGATCTATGAGCACTGTTTCATTAAAATGTTTGCTGTGTTTCTAAAAAAATAAAAACTAATAAAGCCTAAAATAAAAAGAGAAACAAAAGCCCATCCAGCCAGGAGATCTGATAAGGTGCTATAAACTGAAACGTCTGTTCCCACGTTACAGAAAGAAAGATAAACACGAATTAAATAGGAATAGTTAAAATGTCAAACAAACAAATAACATTTAAACCGTGTTGTCACCCAGCTGGATGTTCAGCTGTGCCCGCCCCCCTCAGTCCGGGAGAAATATTTTTAGCTGTTGTTCACAGTTAAACTTAGCTAGCACCAAACTAGCTGTCACTAACTTGACAACTTGTTAGTTGTATCCGAGAGGTTACTGCTCACAATACAAACCGTGCAGCTAATATATTAGCATATATTTTATTGCGAAGCTAAAAACCTGACAGAAAAATACATACCAACACCAGCTGCCGCTCCGCAGGACAGCAGTCAGTCCAGCGTCCTCCTTCACAACAACACTACTCTCGACTCCAACTATGGCAAACGCCGAGGGCAAAAAGGGTTTTAACAGCCCACCAATCAGGAGCGAGAAGCGCGGTGATGTCATCATCAAGCGCCCGTCTCTTTCAAAAAAACAAATGATTTAAAAAACAGCTGCAATATTCGAGTTACCATACCATACAAACCATTTTTATTTATAGCGCTGTACATTAGACAGACACAACAGGACATAGTTGAAATTGCAGTCAAAATACAAATCAAAAATATGGAGCATTTATATTTACAGTACAAGTGAGGTTTTGCACCTTCTTACTACTTGAAGACAGCGAGGGAAGGAGACTGTCTGACATGTAGTGGTAGGTTATTCCACAGTTTTGGACCTGCTGCAGAAAATGATCTGTCACCTCTCAGTTTTAGTTAGAGACCTATAGAAGCAGCTCTAAGAGAGCGCTGTGGGAGTGGATGCACTAGATCTGAGAGGATGGGGAGTTGTTTGAGCATTTAAAGACAAGATGATCTTAAAGTGAATCGAGTTGATAAAAAGAAAAATCAATCTAAACAATAAAATCTGTAACATTTATAATGAACTCACACTTAAATTAAACTAAAGAAAGGCACCTTTTTAGTTTTTTTCACTGGGATTTTTATTTTATGCTGCTTCATAAAATCAGAAGAAAACACCTTCAACTTCAGATTTGTTTACTTAAGTGTTACAGTTTATATTATATACTGTTTAATAAATTGAAATAATGTTTTGAACTAGTGGTTTGCAACTTTTTTAATTTGGTCACCTTCCAAAATGCAGTGTGGCATTATGTTCTTTTATAAGGTGTGTAATTTAAAAACTGTTTATTATTATGTGGTTAAAGGTTTGCTAGAAATGTTTATTGTCTGTTTTTTTTTTTATATTTCAAAATTTAACTTCATTACTTGTTTTAAAGTTTTGCACAAACAAATCTTTTGTTGATCCAACAGTCTCAGGTGCTGTGTGTGAGACAGCTGACTGTTTTGCTTAAACTATAATAATCGGACCACATGAGCACGCATGACACAAACACTGATGTGGACTATAAAAAGAGAATAAAATAATGAATCGTGTTGATATTTGGCTTTAAAGCTTTGCAAAAATGTTTATTTTTTTCACAAACAAACTTTGAAACTCTCTTTATGAAGAAGAGAAATTTAAAAAGCACCACATTTGTCTCTTTCATGTCTTCAAGCTGCAAGTCAAGCTATAATTATGAGTTATTACACAAATAGTGCATGCAGATTTCAAACTTTCTCAAGCAGGTTTCATATTTAATTGAGGGACAAGTAAAACAAACAAAAAATAACTGGTATATCAATAAAATGTTCAGTAAAAAAAGTACAGATCCCAACTTAAAAGACTAACGTGTCATTAGAGCTTCCATAAGTACTTTGTTTAAATGAACAGGAGCTCATTAGCTGCCAAGTCTAAAATTATGTGCATTATGCAACCAGGCTTTCTGTCATGTAAATGCTAGCTTCGGTTTATAAATAGGCAATCATACATTGTTGTAGCGGTTTGAAATGTGCATACGAGGTCCAATTTTTACACCAACTGTCTGAAAAGTACATAAAATTATCCTTGCGCTTTATAGCTTCAAATGTTCAGTTAATTCCTTTAAGACGTGACAGCACAAAGAGAAAACGCTGAGCTATCTGTAAATAATAAAAGCCTGAGGTGTATGTCTGTCAAAAAGAAGCCACACATGACAAAAAATATGTGATTTTTGCAGGCATCTCAGTCTAGGAATAACCGGTTTTAATCAACGAGTCCAATAAATAAGCAAAAACATTTAGATGTACAGTACATAAATACAGTATATACAACTAATAAAAACTCATCTTCAAAGTTTGCATCGAGAGGCTGTAAGGCACATCGAAATGATTACAAAGAATAGTTGTTTTCACATTGCACATGTGTGTGTCTTTACACACATACACGCTCTTCCAGTGTTAAAAAGTATTTTTTTTATTTTTTGAGGCCTGGTTTTGTTTTCGCTGGCAGCTGCTGGTCAGAGCGCTGCTCCTCTGATAGTGTAAAGTTCCTCCAGAGCAGGTGCTTCAAAATCAAAAAGTGTGAAATTATTTATCTCCAGTGTGTGGCCGAGTGCGCAGCTCAGCAGATATAGTGTTTCTTTTCTCAGTCTGAGACAGACGTGGCTTGTGATGAGATCTAGACTTCTCTGCAGAAAATAAGTCTCCTCTTTACACTAAAAACGAGACAAATAGTGTCTTTTTTTCACAACACTTAAAAGAAGGAAGAACAGTATCATAAATAAAACAGTTTTTTTACTACAGCCTATCGGCTGAAATGTGTCAAGCATTTTTTTGGTTTGTGTGTAAAGAAAGGAAGTGTGTAATGTGCAACTTTAAGATAATAAATAAAGCATGCACACCACATCTGATTAAAACACTACTCAGCAGGCAACTTATAAAAACATACAACCTTCCAGTCCATGAAGTCATGCTCTGTGGGTTTGACGTCCGTCAGTCGTTTTGGACTTTTTTTTTTTCAGGCATTTTAAAGTTTGATAAATGCTGAGAATGTTCCTCTTACATTGTCTGCTGTCATCATTTTGTTACCCCCAAGCTGGTCTTCATGTGCTCGTAAACCACGTAGCTAATGCTGACAGCAGGAATGACTTTCATGAAGTTTGGCAGAATGCCACGGTAGAGCCCAAAGAAACCATCTTTGGCTACAATCGTCCTCAACAGAGAACTCATGGAGGGCTGGTCTGACACATCCAGAGACGCTGCAGAGTGGGAGGGAAAAAAAGGCAGTTAAAGGGGCAGAGATGGATCTATTTTACTTCTTTGATGTATTTTATGTTTAGTTTATGATGAGCAGGGCGCTTGTCAGAAAAATCATAGGACTTGTATTCAGAAATAAACAGCAGAGTTTAAACAGTTTATAAAATCTGTCTAGGGATTTCTAACCAGAGTAGATGAGTCGACTTTTGCATATCCCTCAAAAATGAGAGACTTTTACCAACCGGTTAATTTAACCCATCAACACAAAGTTAGCATAAACATTTACCCATAAGCATCAAGACCTTGTATATCCTTAAAGGAACACATRTCACCTGCTGTTAATGTCAGAGTTTCAGACTAATATAATTTGAATCTTATGTTGAGAAATGAGCGTTTAAGCCGTTTTGGTCAAACAAAACAAAATGTTTTGCACAATCTTGTGATATTGAAAGATGTCCCACTCAGAAGATATGCTGAATGACTCTCAGCTACCAGCACTTCAAATTTTAGCTCAATATCTGTAAAACCGGCTGAATGTTCACTGTTTTACTGTTTACTAAGTTTGGCTGTGGCAGCCATGTTGAATTGTGTTGACTTCAAATGTTCATCTGATGATTGTTTTCTCTTGAACGCTTAAGAGATATTTTAGTAGATCACACACACACACAGACACACACACACACACACACACACACACACACACACACACACACACACACACACACACACACACACACACACACACACACACACACACACACACACATACACACTCAGATAGATAGACAAAACTATTATCATCCTGTGCAAAAACAAATACTTTAAAATAAATGCTTAAAAATCACTGCCTGACACAAAACGGTCCTCTCATCTCATGCTTCCTGTGTAATCGTGTCGTTTTGAACATGCTCTGGGTTTACCTTGCGCTTGCATCCGTGTGCGGATCAGGGCGAGAGGATAGCTGGCCAGCTGGCCGCAGGTACTGGAGATGGTCCCGCAGCCCAACAACACCAGAACTCCGGGGTTCGCTGAGTCTTTGGCGTGATACGACAGCCAGGCGTTCTTTAGAGTCTGAGAAAGAGGCCAAAAAGACAAACTCAACTGCTGCATGTCAGATTTAAAACCCAGATTTATTTTAATGAAGCCCAGCAGCTCCAGATAAGCATCGGCGAAATGGCAGGTGGCACTCATCACGAACCTCATAAACAGCTAGGTCGATCCCCGCGTAGGGAATGATGCCAATTAGGTTTGGAATGTAGCCCTTATAGAAAGCGATGACACCCTCCTTCCTCAGGATCTTCTTAGCACAGTCAAACATTCCTGCATACTGACCGGTTTTCCTCAGGGTCAGGCGGGTCTTTAGTACCTTTAAAGGGGCAATAGCATGTAAAATTAACTTTTTTGAGTTTTATATCATGTTATAATGTTATACTCTCATAAAAAACATGTCCAAAGCCTTGCTCTGACTCATTCATGCATGTTTGAGAAATCCTGCAGTGTTTTTAGGAAGCCATGCTGAGGAGCAAAACGACAGGTGGGGACCAGAAACACCTCTGGAACATGTCTTTAAGCCAAACTTCCTCATGGCAGTGCGCCCACCCCTCCTCCCTCCCCACACACCCCACCCATGACTCCTGCAGGCTCTCAGCAGCAACAAAGCAAACAATGGGTGAAACTGAAAGTGAAACTCAAACTGTCTGCTGAGCTCCTACTTCTCACTCAGTGAAGCTCTTTTCAGATTCAAAATACCTTTGAGGAAATGTATTTTCAGATGCCAAGTAAACTGCATCATAGCGCGTGTGCGAACCCTCCACCCCCCCCCCCCCCCGCAATGGGAGGGACAGAAGCGGAAGCCGAGCGGAAGGTGGTTCTTAAAGAGACAGAGGCCAATTTCAAGGCGTTTGGAAGAGGAAGTGATGAGAAGATGAGTCTATTTTCTATTTAAACATAAAAACAGCATTTTAATAACAGCTAAAGGTGACAGATACTTTATTATGGTATAGTATTTAAATACATGCCTGAGAAACACATAATATTTCTCCTTTAAAAGAAGCAGTGCAAAAAATGCAAATGAAACAGAAAGGCGTTTTGAGTCATTTTAAATATAACAGCCTCACGAGCCAAAATCAGATTGATTTTTCTAAATTTTAGAAAAGAAAACACCTCTCTAATTAATCTTGTATAAGTAGGTGGAACTGCAGATTGCCAGTCCAACTGTATTAGCCTCTTGGTTAACAAAGTTGTGAATAATAATAAGCCATTTTTAGGAGGAGAGGGAGCCAATAGGAGATGGCCAACTGGCAGCCCTCGGGCTGGATGTGGCCAGCAGGTGACTTCAGTCTGGCCCACCCCGAAAAGACATTTTGTTTTTTATTTTTAAAAAAGCATACAATGAATTTATTTATTTATTTATTTATTTATTTATTTATTTATTTTTATTTGGGAAGTACACTATCTGTACACAGAATTTCAAGGCAAACCCCTGTGTTTAGTCTGTTTAGAGACGCTGACTTCACTACTACAACATGTTGCAGAAAGCTAAATACGAGAAGTTTACTGAAGTGGCAAGAACATAAACAACAACTTTTTACCAAAACCACACAGGAGTCTGCACTCAAGACATCTTATGCCTTTGCACTTCAGTTAGCTTAAGTAAGTAAGTGAATTTTTAAAACGTCAGTTTTCTTACATTTGGAAGTGTGAAGCACTGTGTTGTGGACACTTCCATCATTTGAGTTGCCCATCCATGAGTTAAGGCATTAAGTGTGATATTCTCTCAATTTAACAACAATTGAACATCCTAAGAAATATTTCGGTCCCAAACCTGTTTATGGAGGAACAACTGTTTTTAATCACTGTTCAAGCGGCAGCATGATAGAACTAGTCCTTGTACCTCCATTGGGTAGATGGCAGTCTGTGCTGTGGCTCCAGCCATAGAGCCAGCGATAAACCTCTTATGAGTCTCAATCTTCTTTCCTTCTGATGACAGCAACTTCTTATACTATAACAGGAAACACATCCACCTTTTACCCACCGTTTTTGTTGATCTACAATCTTATGACACATTTTAAAGGTCTGAACCTGTTCATAAGCCATGAACTTGATGGCCGTCTCGGGTGCGATCTTCAAAACATTGATTCCATTTCCTCTCCACAGCGAGGTCAGACCCCCCTCCACGATCATCTGCCTGAAGCCTCCAATGAGACCGATCCTGTTGACCTTGGAAGAATGGACCTGCGGTGTAAAAATAGAAAGGCTAAGCCCAACGGTTTCACAAACATATCTGTTTACTGGCGAGGAGCCTTTCTTGAACTTTCTTCACCTGCATGAAGACTTTCAGTCTGTCCAGCGGGGCGGTGCCGGTGCGGGAGACGGCGCCTGCCACCGCACCGGCAACCAGCTGCTTCCACCAAACGTCTGAGCTCTTCTCCTCCTCGGTGAACTCATCCGGGATGGAGAGGCTGTCACCTATGTCCAGCACCTGGAGATTAAACAGGACTTTAACTGAACTCCTTAGTTTCGACACGTCACTTTTTGACAGGTAGTTTATGAGAAAGACCTGCACCTTTATCAGTCAGTGTAGGTAATCTGGTTGAAACTAGTGCTTCTATGCATATTCTCAATTAATGCAAATTATGCAAACTGTTCTGAGTTACGTAGGCTTTCTTACTCAAACATGCACGCCTGTGTGGCTGTGACAGTAAACCCTCACGAGCACAACTTCTGCTTTCTGTTTTCACACTTGTGTAGCAACTGTTTTAAAGTCAGACAACAGAAAGAAAGAAAGCTGATACACCAAAAACATAACAGAGCTGGGTTTAAAAATGTCCACTAAAAGCCTGGTGGGAAAATGCAGTTGTCTAGTGAGCTTTGATCAGCACAGAGTCGTCTGAGACCTCGCCTCGCGTGCTTTGGCTGCTTCAAAAAAAAAAAAAAATCAGATATTTGGCCAACAGCAAAAGAAAATATAGCCTGAGAAGAAAACAAAACATGGAGCTGAGATGATTTAATGCAAATCTGCTGGGGGGAACACAAGGGATTGCAGAGTTAAATAGTTAGCACACTGACTCCTGTGACACATTTTTGTGAGGTTTGCAGAGAAACGTTTAAAACAGGTTCTGTGAAGCGAAGCAGTGTGCTGCGCGGTCAATGACAACTTTATTTGCTCCAAGAATATAGGGTTGGGCATTATAAGCAGAAGCGAAGGGGGACAAAATGTACGGCTGCTGCTGCCGGCCTAACTATCTCGTGTGGTTTTACAGCTGCAGTGAACTGCAGAGAAAATCCATAGCATCTATCCCTGCCGTTGCCTCTGAGTGTGGGCAGTTTTGTTTTTATGTGGGCTGTACCGAGGAGTGCTTCCAGTAGCGGATGATCTCTTCCAGGTTGAAGGCAGGGTACAGGAGGAAGTGTTCTCTGAACTCGTTCCAGTCCACCATCATGGACCCGTCGATGTCCATGCTGAGGGTGCACACAAACACTGATTACCCCCAACAGGCGCATAAACAGTGAGATGCATGCATGGAAGTGGAGTTCAAACCTCTGCAAAATCTTCTGAGCGTCCTCCCTGCAGATGTGTATGCCCAGCTCTGCAAGGGACTGCTGGATCTCTGAGGCATCAATGCGTCCTGGTGCACATTGGAAAAGAAGTGAAATGTGCTGCATTACAAAGACAACAGCATTCAGTGCATAGTTAAAACGATCCCTTCCTCATCTCCTACCATCACCATTCCTGTCCAGACTTCTGAATGTGAGCCTCAGCTTCACCTCGTGATCTTTCAGATATTTGGTGAACTCGTTAAAGTCCAAACACCCATCATTGTTTTGGTCTCCAGTTAACACAATTTTCTGCAGAGAGAGAGATAAAAAAAAAAGAAAACCTAAATTCAGTGCAAGTCAGTTTTGGATCACACACTTTCAGCAGCCACGGTACGGTGGAATGCGCCAGCGTCGCTTTACGCACGGGATCCCCCCCTCGCTTCGAGTTACCTGCGCGGCGCCGTGGCGGAATATTCCCATCGCCTTGAGGCCCGCTCGCAGCTCGGCCACGTCCACCTTGCCATCCTTGTTGGTATCGAGGCGATCGAACAGGTCCTGGTAGGACCGCTCACTGTCGGCATCCCAGCACCGAGCACCTGAGAGGAACAACGTCCGCAGCGCCGGAAACATCGCTGCCGCTGCTGCAGAGCTAATGTGGAAGCAGCGGCGTCCAGAGCCGTCCTCCTGCTGCAAACATTAATCTGATTATTAATCCATATTGACCGTCATTCGATAATTAATCCGCCGCATAAGACACGCGAGAACTCAGTGACAGAAAGGCTGTGGCAGCTGGAGTATTTCTGCAGGGAGCTTCAATCCGCTGTGAGGAACTGCAGCAGTAGTGTTGTGGGTCGAGGAGGGCGGAGCTACTGCGGCTGCGCAGCTKTCCTGGCCTGAACAGCGCCAAAACGTGATAAAACAGTGAAGACGTAATAAATACCCCCCACTCTGGGCTTAACGTTTTACGATTATAAAAATGAACGTCTCTGTTTTTGTTGTGCCACTTTTCCTGTGTGCAATGTGACCATGCATGACAGAGAAATTATAATCTGCTTATCTAGAAGGACGTGTCAGCACAGAGAGGACTGGGCTTGGCATTTTTATCCACCGGGCAGTACCGCTGTTTGCCAGCAGGGGGCGGCGCTTCCACACAATACCAAGGAGGTTATATATTCAAGTCTATGCACAACACAGACACACAACATAATAACAATGTTGTTTGGTTTTACAGGTTTTGTACAAGTCTTTATTTTTACTGATTTTTCAGATTTAATTGATGAAATCTGACAAATGCTGTAATCTAAAGGCACTAATTGCCACTTATAAAATAAAAACTTTTAAAGTGATCATGTATTATATTAAATGGTGCAATTTGAAAGAATTTACTTGGGTGGTTTTTTGAGTTGCAGTTCAGAAATGTGGGTATGTACTCAATGTGAATCAAGCCAAAATCCACAACATGTTATTGGCTTACATTAGGCTGCATGGAAACTTTATGTACACTTTATTCAACAAATGTGAGATTTAATATATACAAATACATTAAATATGACCTGTCACATCAAACGGAGGATTAAATCAAATTTGATAAAAATGACATATAAGCACATTTTCAGAATCCTGTTTTTTAAGCTACATTTTGATACCTGATGTCATCATCCAGATATTATGAGAAGTTTCAGAGGTATGGCCTGATTTGTCCTATTAATCAAAATAATATAGTGATATTTGGTCTGAATCCTATTTTTAGGTTATTCTTATGAGGAATTGTTGATGTCATGAGGAAACCTCAAATAGTGTTTTGATATTAAGTTTTATCAGCTGGAAAGAGAAAAAGCTTTGCCAGCTCGTAGGAGAATTGACAAAAAAATGTTTTTTTCTACTTCAAATCATGTTTTTGCAGCAAAATGGATTAAAAAATTAAATTATTTAATTTTTTGAGATGTTTTATTTAAATGACTGTAATGGTTACATTTTGATAAAATTTAAAATTAGCAAACATTTTAACCAAAACACTATGGCTGCCTATTTCTCCACTTACTTTATCCTCAGCTCATTGTGATGGGTCACAAATATTTCATACTTACTGATTCCAAATGGCTCTTTCATGGATATTGTCAATAATGACAATTTTTAAGTCACCTTGACTGGTCAACAAATGTAATTTTGTAATTAGTATTTTGTTTTTTACTTTATGATCTTTGTTTTTGACCTGCATTTATAACTTGCGATGAGTATTGTTATTACTTGCCATAAATAACAAGTCTATGTTAAATTACAGGTTACAGTCCTGTATTTTCCCTTTTGTTCTTCCTAAACAAGATACTCATCATCTCTTGGGTATTCCCTCAGGGTGGAAAAATACCTTAACAAGACTGCTAATATTTGTTTTAACTATAAATCATTTGTTTAAATCAAGAAAATATAGCACTACCATGGATATTTATTGTCAAAAGTAAATATATATATGAGAGATAAAATGCCCGTGTTATTAATTTCTCAATTGTTTTTGTTTGTTTGTGTTTTTGACAGATTAAACCACAAGAATAGCTCCTTGTTTTTTTTTAGATATTTCAGAGTATATATGCAAATCCTGACAGTGCTGGTTTACAATTGTGTCCACGATGTGGGATAAATAGGGTCAAGTGTATGGTCTGCCCCATGTAATTAATGGTATTTAAAGGAAATTCTGTGTTTTTGTGTGGCTGCGTGAAAGAGATCTATGGAGAGACATCCTGTGAAAACTTTGTTTTTGTCAGAAATACAAAAATATCTGAGGCTGAAAGGCTAAAAAAGACACTATGTATCCTGCTTGGAGTTTTCATGGAGTTTGCACAAAAACGTTGTTAGAGCAGCCTAAAGAAGAACACAAGCTGTCAACATCACAGCCTTTAACCATTCATTGGAAGAGTTTAGGTCAGAATATAACAAAATTTAGAAAATATCAGTGGATAAATGAAGAGCAGATAATGAATCTAGAGCAAATACTCAATAAATTATCAAAATGATCAATAATGTGTTGCTGTTTCAACATTAAACACTTTGAAATAAATAGTCAAAATTAAACTAAAATAAAAAAGCTTGTAAGATAATTTGTTATCAATTATGGTGATTTCCTAATGCATCTCAGTAATCCAGGTAAAAAATCAAAAATAAAAAAATTGTATAGGTCTTCTGGACGGGTTCTTCTCTAATGAAACGTTTCGTCTCTCCTCCAAGAGACTTCTTCAGTCTGAGAGTTTCAGGCAAAATTCAGGCTTTTGAGTCCTGCCTCCAGGTGACTGATACTCACATCACATGGCTATTGTTCACACCTAATTAACACCTATTGTTAACAGGGGGTGGAGTGATACTGGCAATGGCAGCGCTGTAGGAGGGGGACAACTGAAAACGGAGGCCTCCGCCTCTGTTTAATGATGGACGGTCTTTCTTCACAAAAATGGCTTCTTTTACTCCTCTCTCAAACCAACGTTCCTCTCTATCAAGAATGAGAACATCCTCATCTCTGAAAGAGTGACCGCTGGCCTGTAAATGAAGTGAAAACTGCAGAGATCTGGCCATTAGATGTAGCTTGTCTATGTTGGGACATTCTTTTGAACAGTGACTGCTTTGTTTCCCCGATGTATAACTGGTCACAGTCCTCCTGGCACTTAACAGCATATACAACATTGCTCTGTTTGTGCCGGGGAACCGGATCTTTGGGGTGAACCAGCCTTTGCCGTAATGTGTTTTGGGGTTTGAAAGCCATGGAGGCAGTGTGGTTATCCTGACTGGCCTTCCTGAAAGCAGACAGGAAACACAGACAGGATTCCATGCAACCTTCAGGTGAAAATGAAGACCCCAAACCCAGACCCAAACCAGTGGTTATTCCGTATGTTGCGGGTATTTCAGAGAAACTGAGACGTTTATTTTCTAAACATGATGTCCCAGTGGCTTTCAAACCCCAAAACACATTACGGCAAAGGCTGGTTCACCCCAAAGATCCGGTGCCCCGGCACAAACAGAGCAATGTTGTATATGCTGTTAAGTGTCAGGAGGACTGCGACCAGTTATACATCGGGGAAACAAAGCAGCCACTGTTCAAAAGAATGTCCCAACACAGATGAGCTACATCTAATGGCCAGAACTCTGCAGTTTTCACTCATTTACAGGCCAGCGGTCACTCTTTCAGAGATGAGGATGTTCTCATTCTTGATAGAGAGGAACGTTGGTTTGAGAGAGGAGTAAAAGAAGCCATTTTTGTGAAGAAAGACCGTCCATCATTAAACAGAGGTGGAGGCCTCCGTTTTCAGTTGTCCCCCTCCTACAGTGCTGCTATTGCCAGTATCACTCCACCCCTGTTAACAATAGGTGTTAATTAGGTGTCAATGATAGCCATGTGATGTGAGTATCAGTCACATGGAGGCAGTGCTTAAAAGCCTGAATTTTGCCTGAAATTCTCAGACTGAATAAGTCTCTTGGAGGAGAGACGAAACGTTTCATTAGAGAAGAACCCGTCCAGAGGACCTTTACAATTTTTTCTTTTTAATTATGGTGATTATTTTGCTCAATAAATTCAGCAATGATATTTTACTAAAAATTCCAATTTTATGTTTGTGAATATTATTCCAGTATATAACTACAATAACACTGTTCATCATGTTTTTAAGTGACTGGAATATGGAATAATAATAATAATAATAATAATAATAATAATAATAATAATAATAATAATATGGAATGCATCACCTTCATTGTGTAAAATCGTGATTGTTTTATGTTTTTTTTTCCTGCTTCTTGTCCAATCAGAAGACGCTTTTCCTGTGACGTAATGTTTTCAGTGGGTGGGAAAGAAAAGGTTTGAACTTTGAAACGAGTCTGCTGCTGAGACAAGCACCGAGCAGAAAAGAGTTCAGCTCCTCCACAATGGACTCAGTCATCATGTCCTTCATTCTCATGAAGAAAAAAAGGTTTAAATTTAAAATAGACGTCGACCTGGAGGAGTTGTCGTCAGTTCCTTTCGTGAACGGAGTTTTGTTTTGTAAAGTGAGACTTTTAGACGGAGGCTTCGCCGAGGAGTCGTCTCGGTAAGTCTTTTTATAGCTCGGATACAAACAAGATGAAGTTAAACTTGTGACCGGTTAGCTTTGTAATTCTCGACACTTATTTAGCTATATTAAATATACACGTTAACTTACCAGACAACTGTTGAAGGGTAAAGTAAAAAAAATGGAGGAAATAAAACTTGCAGGGATTTAACTTCGCTTTAATACAGTTTTTAGTCTTTATGAATTCAAATAAGATACCGAGAATATAAATGATAGTTTTATGCTAGCTTTTGTTTACAGTAAATTTGCTAAGCAACAAGGAATGCACGTGAGCAGCAAAACAAAGGTTATTTAATCGATATAAAACTGGATGTTTACATTATGTTTTCCCAATTTTGTTACAAGAGCACATATTTTGACAATAACGAAACAGTTACAGTGAAAACACTCAGTTTTATTTGTCCTTATTTGAGTCCAGTGCTTAGCTTTCTTTTTCTTTTACAACTATTTTTTTGATCAAATACAAGCGTTTTCTCTGTTTTGTCAATGATTTCACAAGAAGTCTCAGTTTTATTTCTGTGTTTCTCTGTATCTTTTTGACAAAATGGAAACAGTTTCTTCAATAAAAACCTGAAAACCTGCAGTTTAAGTGGAATAAACTGTTGTTTAAAATGTAAAGCAAACCATGTAATTTAGATAGCCACAAAACTGGTAGGTAAAATCTAAAATGTTGAAAAAGCTCAACAGCGTAGCAGTTATTAGGCTTTAATGTCAAACAAATTAAGATGTAAAAATGTTAAGTGTGGTGATTTTAACGATGTACTGTGTTTTGTACCAATAGTAAAGGATGCCAAAACTTTTAAAAGTTAAGATCTTGAACTAGAAGGATTAACCTTTTTACAATTACTAATGCACAGTGTCAGTATTTACCAATGCATTGTGTTCTTTATATATATTTACGCCTCATTACCAGTTCTTTGAAATGCACTTAGTCTAAACAGTGTCGTTACCTATGTTTCAGCTGTGCAGTCATGTCGACATCCGGCAACATTGCATATTGAGAATATCACAACGTTAAATACCAACAAAGCAAACTGATTATGATTTTATAAAAGTCAATAGAAAAGCAGGTTTAAAGGACGAAAACAACAGAGTTGAACTGGGGTCCTTGAATACTGTTTGAATGTATTTGTGGCATGGTGCCAGATTTTATCATTTGCATTAGTACATGTAAAAAAAAAGGTAAATGAAATAGTGTTTCTGATTGTCTGTGTCTTCCAGGGAGCCCGTCCAAGCTAACAGTGTGCACTGGAAGAAGAGGTTCTCTTTTATTTGTAAGATGAGTGCCAATGCTGGGACAGGAGTGCTGGACCCCTGTGTATGCAGAGTGTCAGTGCGCAAGGTATCTCTTTTTTTATTATTATTATTATTATTATTGTTATTATTATTATTATTATGTAAATCTCAGTCAAATTTCTCAGATATATGGGTATTGTGTATTATATTGAGGTAAGGAGCAAATACAGTGCACTTATTTCAGTTTTTTATTCCAGGAACTAAAAGGTGGAAAGTCTTTTGCAAAGGTGAGACGTCCCCTCTATAGTTTGTAATCTTGTTCTTTACTTGGGCGAGTCTTTTACCACCTTCCGGCGTTGGTTACTGATTGAAAAGTTGGTCAATCAAAACTTGAACCCAGTTAACTGATAACTTTATTAAACAGAAGAAACAAATAACTTTTGATGATCTTTTAACACCTTTCATAACATGATAATTTATTTTAATAAATAAATAAAGAAGTAGGGAAAAAAAGAATAAGAAAAAGAACAAAAAAAAGCATGATAATTTATGCACAAGCTGTTTTGACTTGACTCACCGGCGTATCTGCTGGTAGAAAACTGCACAAGCTACAATTATTCTGTGTTTAAACCTTGTGACTGTTGGGTGACTTTCATCTGTCTGCAGCTGGGTTTCGCTGACTTGAACCTGTCAGAGTTTGCCGGGTCGGGCGGCACGGTACGACGGTGTCTCCTGGAGGGCTACGACACGAAAAACACCAGACAGGACAACTCAATTCTCAAGGTATGGCTGTGAACCAGCGCACGGCTCCACGGCTCACGTCGCATCAGCCTCGCTGAATCGAGCAGGCGGCTGAGGCACGTCTGAGCCTCTGATGTAATAAACTCCTCGTGTTTGGGGACATGTCCGGGCGTGAGACTCCCATCTGCTGCAACCTCATGAAACAAGAAAAACCACGAGCCATCGTTTTTTTTACTGCTCTCGTCTCTGTTACAGGTTGTCATCACCACACAGCTTATGTCTGGAGACCCTTGCTTTAAAACGTAAGTAACGGTAATCTATAGCTGTTATCATCTAAACCAGCTCTTTGTAAATAAAGTTCTGTTTATAACGTTTGTAGCTACAAAAAAGTGTTTTATTCTAACCAACTGCAGAGGAAATGAGTTTCACCACATCTTGTTAGTCACTCATCTTTTATTAAAGGCACCCACATAGAGTCAGTGTGTGTCTGATTTCATGATCTTATCTGAGCGCTAACAGCACCTCACCTAGACATTAATCAGCCCTACCTCACTCCTTTAGCAAAGTTCAATCAAAGCAGTTCTGAGGCCACATTTCTGCATATGTAAATGCTAAAGTTTGTCACAAAGAATGTGCATCGTGTTCAAACAGTACGTTTCCTTCATTCAACACATTTTTTTCTTCAGATTTCTGTTTACTGTAATAATACACAGGCTGCTGCCTTGGAGACATCTGAAGCTTAGTCATCTGTCCCACATGGTATTACCCACTCTGCAGGGAGAGTTGACTCTGCTTTCTCTCTGTCTCGTTCTTTCCGCTCGTCTGCCTGTGGTCAACACAAAGTTGAGTTTCCTGTGTTTATTCCGGCTGACACATACCAGCCATTCAAACACACTAGTTTATCACATTATTATTAAATTAGGTTGACAGATTTGATCAAAGAGGAAAATAGATAAAAGTGACATTGCTTTATAGAAAAGCTTGATGTGAACGTTGACTTTACAGGAAAAGCACAATTCAAACACATTTTGTTAATGTCGGCTTTGGTTCATCACTACTCTCATATAAGTTTATCTAAATTCAGCGCAGACACTAAGCAAATGACTTCTTTGCTTTTCTCGCTCGGACAAATGTGTGCTTGAGGGAAGCATCYGGTTTTAGTGATTTCATTGACAAAGTGCAAAAAAGTAAGCAGGAACGAGAACAATGAGGCTGTGACAGTATCMCGTGAAACAACTATTTTTCCTGTCCGTAACAGAAACACAATCTGTGTACAGTGTAAAGTCCCTAAAGCTCCAGTTTGTTATGTTTACTGGAAATGTGTCGTCAAAAACAAAATGCATGTTTATGGTTTTGTTCTTCTGCTTGGAGTCTCAGAAATGAATTCAAACTAAATTTTTATTGGTTGGTTGATATAACTATGAGGCAATTGAATTAGGTTGTTCTCCAATAAAGCTCAGTGATATTTATTTCAGTGTTGTGGTTTCAAACACCTTGAACGGTTTGTGTGTCTTGTTCAGTCCACCATCTACGGCCATGACTCTGGGAACCTCTCAGGCTGAAGCAGAGGGACTGTTGGAGGACAGAAGAGGAGACATGCACACATGTCTCTCTGTAACTGGTATGTACACAAACATTTTAAGTGTTTAAAGTGCCTGTGACATCATATTTTTATAATAAATATGCATGCATTTTTGTAAGGGTAACATTGATGATACTGTATATTGCATATAACATTTCACGCTGCTGAGATGAACAGTTGAGATATTTGCATGTGAAATAACAGGAAGTGATGTCTAAGGGGAAAGTCTGCATGTAAACAGAGCATCGCTATAAATACTAACAACACAGACTGTTGAGAAGAATCTGATGTTTCTTTAAATCATTTTGAGTCTATCAGAGGGAGATGAAGAAGAATCAAATAATATTGTTTCAATAAACAAAAACRAGGGAGTTTTATTTTTTTAAACAGTTCCCCTTTGATGTCACTTCCTGTTTTACTTTGGTTGAGCTGAGTTCAAAGGAAAATCTGCCAGTTATGTGAAAAAATAGGTGAAATCACGTGTATTATTATGTCAAGTTTCTTAAATATAAATATGTTTTGTGTAACATTGTTTAACTATGAAATTATTGATAAATGCAAAGATTTTGTGGGAATTCTTTGCATGAAGGCTTATTATTTAGAAGAGAGTTAAAAAGAGTAAAAAACAGTATAAAGATGAAAATAAAAAGAAGTTTAATAATTTTATTTTGCYGCCTCAGAATGTTTTTATTGTAAAGTACATTAACAAAATGTGAGGCTGACTTTGTGATTTTTCTGGTTTAATCTTTGTCATACTTTTAGACTTTCTAAGACAATCGACATCAGTCCCAGAGGAACTGCTGTCCTACGGTCACTCCAGAACACCCAGCCATACAAGTCAGCTTTCAAAACTCTCAGGTGCTGACGCAGTGACACACAGTCTCTCTCCTTAAAACCCAAAGCAACAAATTATTACAGTTAAATACAAATTTTTAACACTCTTCTCTCTAAMTGACTTTTTTAGGTTATAGTTCGATTCACTCCAGTTCAACAGATTTGAGTCATCGACGAACCAATTCAGGAGATTCTGCCTCTACAGGCATCGAAAGTATTGGGCCCAACGATCAACCAGTCTCTGCAACCTGTCAGCATTCATGTGAAAATCTCTCCACCCCCAACAAGGTTCACAGGTAGACCGAATTCAACAAAATATATATATTTTTACATATTTTTGTACAAGTGTATTTCTTTGCCCAATATTTATTGACTCACTTTGTGTTTTCCATAATACTGCATTCATGAATCATGAGCAAGGGCAAGTTTTTAGCATTAAAGTATAAAAGAAAACAAAATGTTTGCAAATTAAATTGAGATTTACCAGTACATCCTCATTCCATATAATGACAATATTTTAACATGTTTGCATTTTATGTATAGAATTGGAAAAGCTGAACATTTAAGAATAACCCAAATATTCGTTTTTATCATTTTCTACTCTATTTTTGTGTTTTCTCATATTTTAAAGTCTGTTTTTGCAACATGATCTGTAGAAGTTACTTGCAATAATAAACCCTTTTGTTTGTTTCTTCTTCTTTAGACCTCCAGTAAAGCAGAACTCGGTGGAGAACCAGCTGAAAAGAGTTGACGCCACCCGGGTGGACGCTGATGACATAATAGAGAAAATCCTGCAGAGCCAGGATTTCAGCCATGGCTTCTTGGATTCCAGTGCAGAGGGTGTGTACGTCTAATCCTGGCGTGGAAAATTACTTAGCATCCTACTGGTGGGGTCAAATTACGTTTGAGGTGTTGCTATGCACCACCTCCAAATGCGCAGCTCGAGAGTCTGCAGTGGTCTGTAGTCATTTATCCCCAAAATAATGTTTGAGTCAGCGTTCGACTGTGACAGGTTTAATGCCAGTTGACTGTGTCATGCTTGTGTCTTCTTATTTTGACTGTGTACATGTATGTGTTACTGCAGAGGAGGGGCTCAGCTTGTTTGTGGGTCCTGGTGGGAGTACTGCCTTGGGAAGCCAGCACACGAGGTGGGTGTGATTACGTAACTGCGAAGTGTGGGTGCCACCCACCAGGGTTTTACTGTGAACATRGAGGAATATCTGCACTAGATCAAAGTTTAGAGAAAGAAACTTTGAATAAACACATTAGAGCCCCACTGTTGACATATTTCTTAGTAAATTGTCTGAATTTAACATTGGGACAATTGTGTAGATTAAAGGCTCTCCCTTTGTCAAATCAGACAACAACCGTAATTTCCTGTCGTAACACACTGACATTCTGTTTCAGGGTCACAGCCGGAGCCTTTGAGCAGGTGGTGATCGGCAGGCTTTAGGACTCCACACAAGAAGGACCCTTTTTCTCAGAAGAGGTCACAAGGCAGAGCTCTGGATGTCCCATCAAAACTTGTTCCCAGAAGTTTTTGTTATGCAAGACATTTATGTGACTTACAGCAATTGTTTGTCGTGGAAGACCTCTAGTGTTCAAAAGGTGTATTTGAAGGCCACAAAATTAAAACATTTTCTACACCGAGATAGCTGCTGCACACGTCTCTTATGATCTTCTTGTGCCTTTTAAGGACATTTAGTTTATACTGGATGKATCCAGTTCTTCATTTTTGGTAAAAATACAAAGAACAATAATATGTTTTTCATGCCCATCCACCCACTCCACCTTGATTTTTGGTTCATTTTTTGCCTGTCTTTTTGCATTAGTAGTTGACGAATTTAAAACAAATAACGAGTAATTTGTAATTATTGTTACTGACAAAGGTTTTAAGTGTTTATTTTTCATACCAAAGTGAACACACTAGGAGAAACAATGTCTCATTTTCTGAAAACTTTTAATTCTAACTTATATTCAGTAGCTTACTATTTTTTTTATAAATGGCTCAAGCTATTAAAAATACAAAACCCCACTTCTATTCACTAAGTTATGAAGAAATATATTTACCACAATCATTAAGTTTGCACATTTTGTTCCAGAAGAATGTTTGTTGTTTATGTATTGTTTGTTTGTTTATCTGTTTGTTTTTGTAAGACAAAATACATTTATTTTTTATCTAACTGTTAAAATGTGCCAAAGTTGAATGTAAAAGTAGTCAAAGATACATGTTGTACACAATTGTATCATGACAACAGATTATCTGTAATCGAATATTTAATAAAAAAAAAACATGTATATACTCTTGTTTCTTTAAGTGTGTAAAAATATTTAAAATTTCTGCATTTTTAGGTAATAAATAAAGTTTCTCATAACTATAGGACACCCACATGAACCTTGAAAATATCAGTAACAAAAGGGTTAAAACTCCTTCATGTGTAGGTAATGGCCCTTCAAAATAAATATCGGATATTTTAAAAATCTTAAATATTGTTTTTTTTCTGTTAAAAGTAAAATATATTAATAAAGTAGAATAACTTACACTATATCTGTACAAATCTTAACACGGTTACATATAAATAATTTTAAAGATAAATGTGTTTATGCTTTTACTTTTAAAACAAAGTGCTAACTAATGGCATAGTTCCGGTTTCAGCCTGCYATTCACTGCAGCGAGTTAGATTTCCGGTGTTCCATCTCGCAGTAGCACTTTAGCTAAAACGGACGGCGGGAAGTTCTTGGTACCGATTTATCCACAAATCAAGGAAAACGAAGCGGACAATATTGTAAACAATTGATAATTCACTATCTGTAATTGATGGCTTTGTAAACGGAAATACGCTAAAAAATAAGACTGAGCTTCGCGGTGCGGAATTCAGCTAGCATCATCATGGCTAACGTCGGAAACCAGTTACCAACACAGGCCATTGCCAAGCCTGGGAAACATGGAAACGTACTGCCCCTGTGGGGCAACGAAAAGACTATGAACCTTAACCCAATGATTCTTACTAATGTACTGTCGTCGCCGTATTTCAAAGTTCAGCTCTACGAACTAAAGACATACCATGAAGTTGTGGACGAAATTTATTTCAAGGTAACGTGAACATTAGCTGTTGTGTTGCTAACCCCGCATGCTAGTATTTCAGATAATCGTGTCTACACTGGCCTTAACTGTAAATACATGTTGTGAGTCAGATAACCAGCGAACGAAAATTAGATGGTGCCAGATTTATTTAGAGTATAATWGAATTTTACGTTGAGTAAACGCTAATAAATATATTATCTCCTGTTTATTAGTAACTTAATACGTCGGTCAAACGATACCACGAATTTGCAAACAATAGGTGGCGTAAGTTGGCTGATTATAAGTTACATGACTGTATTATAAAACATGGAGCCTGTGGGCACTGAAGTTTAAAGGGCCCCTCGGTCACAAGTGCAAAGAAAAGGGGATGTAAACACAAAAAAAAAACTTCAAACCAAGCAATCACTTGAAAGAGTGATTCATGTCCTAGTGGTGTTTGAGAAAAAAATGTTTGATATATTATGGTTATATTGAAAAGTTGCATATGAAGTAATAGTACACTTAGACAAAATAMATTAGTTTGCCTCTGTTCAGCTTATAACATTTTAAATAACTTGCTATTTTTTTGGTAGTATATCAGTAAGTTACTAAGTATAAACACGATGACTTTAAGACGGTTTCCTCCATACGTTTGTATGTATAATTATTGAACTGGGTGTCTTGCGTGTTCTTTTAGGTGACTCACATTGAGCCCTGGGAAAAAGGAAGCAGAAAGACTGCAGGTCAGACAGGAATGTGCGGAGGGGTAAGTGAGAAGTACGTGCTTTTTATATTCCTCAAATTTTGTCCCTCTACATTATATGTAAGGATTTAAAAAGGATTAAGGGAAGTCTGTTGAACCGGCTTGATGTGCATGTTCAAATAACTTCGTTTGTAGTGCTTGTGCCAAGGTAATACCTGTAAGTAGTGTGTGGAGTTTTTCTTATCAAACCTGTTCTGTGTTTCTGGTAGGTGCGTGGCGTTGGGACCGGGGGGATTGTTTCTACTGCTTTCTGTCTTCTTTACAAACTGTTTACGCTCAAGCTGACACGCAAACAGCTGATGGGTCTGATCACTCACACGGACTCTCCCTAYATCAGAGCTCTTGGATTCATGTATATAAGGTACGAACTTTTGCACAAAAGAGTCTTCGCATGATTTATTATGATGTATTCTTATGAGCTTTGTTTATTCCAGATATACTCAGCCTCCAGCAGATTTATTAGAGTGGTATGATGGCTTCATGGATGATGAGGAGGTATGTCACCTCGGGTAATAATTTATTCTTCTTATTATTTTACTTTTCTTGAAATATCCAGTTGATCAGCACACATTAAAAAATGCTAGTTTACCTTCCCCCCCTTGTGATGCTCATAGCTGATTTTTCACCTTTGCCTTCATTTGGCTTAATTGTTCCCTAATTTGTGTTCTTCGAGCCTGAGTAGCTAGATTACTTGCTCACTTCTCTGCTGCAGTTTATTTCTCCGGGTAAGTACCATATCTGACGCTGCGAACATTTTTTTTGGTTAATATATGTAAGAGGCATGCCCTTTGTGGGGTTCCTGCTTTGTTTTTCTTAATTATTAGTATTATTATTATTTTTTATTAGGACTTGTTGCACACAAATACATTTGTTAAAAYTGGGTGGGGGGAAACAGCATTTTTACATAAAGTCATGTCCTCAGGGGCAATAAAGTTYTATCTTACTTTTATTTTATTTCCTATTTCTTGGTTCTAAATACAATCTGACCCAGGTTGTGCAACCAGGCCTTCTTTCTTCTGTTCTGTTCTGTTGCATTGTATTTGATCTGATCACTGTGAAATCCTACGCCACTGGTTAATTCACCTGTTTTTTCCTTTAGATTCCCATTGTGCAGCAGGTGAATTGGAAATTGTATCTCAACACTGTTGGTTTGCGTGAGTGCAAAGCAGCTGTTCTCTACCATATAAATTTTATCTATTCATTTGGAGTGCACTTACCCACCTGCTACAATCTGTACTTACACTGTGGACAGTTTCTTTAGTTCTCTGAGGCTTTGAARTGCTGTTGGGAGACAGTAAATAGAAGAACGCTTCTCTTTCTTCATCCCTTTGCCAAAGCAGCACCCCTTATTTTTACTTTAAAATGTACTTGTCATTTTTTTTGAAGATGCTATTTTAATATGTGGAGGAAATGTGCTTCCTTCAAATTTGATGAAAGAATATTAAAGCTCACGGTGTAAATACAGACTGAGAACATTCCAGATCCCAGGTTAGGTGAGGCAAACCATTTGTAATAATAAGTTAGTTTCCTCTGTTATTTTTTAGAAGTTAGGCCAAGTTTATTTGATTGATATGAGAGATTAAGCTAGATGAACAGAGGTGAAGGTTCAGTACTTGGTCATCACAAAATCTATTTTATGTGTGGCAATTTACAAAGCAGTCTTATTCGTATTCTAATTAATCACAAGAGTTTTTCTCTTTTCCTTTTTTTTGTTTTGTTTGTTTCTAGGAGCTGGACGTAAAAGCAGGAGGTGGCTGTGTRATGACCATCGGAGAGATGCTTCGTTCCTTCCTGACCAAACTGGAATGGTTCTCCACTTTGTTTCCCCGAATCCCAGTGCCTGTACAGAAGCAGATTGATCAGCAAATGAAGGCAAGACCCCGTAAGGTGGCTCAGAAAGAGCCTGAGGAAGAGACGGATTACTCAGAGGCAGGGAAACAAGGGGAACGGCGCCACTCCAGGTAAATCCGTTGTACGATTTTTTTTTTTTTGTTTTGTTTTGACCAGTTTCTAAATGGATACTTTGAGTTAATTGTCTTCTTAAGTTAATGGTTTGTTGTTTTTTTTTTTTGCTCCAAATTAACTGTTTGCTTTTTATCAGAACCCCAAGACGATCCCCGAGTCCCAGAAGGTCACCCAAACGGTCAAGAAGCAGGAGCCACCACCACGAGAGAGAACGCCGCGGCCCGAGCTTCGACCGTGAACTGGAGCGAGAGCGTGACCGCCAGAAGAAGGAGAAGGATAGGGAGGGGAGGGACCGAGACAGGGACAGGGGGGACAGAGGGGACAGGGACAGGCGGAGATCCCGCAGCGCAGACAGGAACCAAGAGCGGCGAGAGCGCAAACGAAGTTGCAGCGGCAGCAGGGAGCGCAGGAGCGAACGCAGGGAGAAAGAAAGAGACGGAGGGGAGGACAGGAGCAGGAGGAAGGAGCGGGATCACCACAAGGATAAGGACAGGGGGACAGAGAAGGACAGGTCCAGGGAGAGGAAGAACAGGGGAGAAGCCGACGAGCGGAGGCACAAAGACGACAGGGACAGACACAGGGAGGACAGGAAGTCCAAGCGGTCCAGCCGAAGCCGCAGCAGGGACAGGCGGCACAAAAGTGGCGGAGACGAGAAGAGCAGGAAGCGAGAGCGCAGCCACAGCAGAGAGAGGGACCGAGAGCGGGACGGAGAGCAGAGACATCACAAACGCAGCGGCAGCAAAGAGAGGAACCGTCACCAGCGAGAGGCCAGTAATGAACATAGTAAGCATAGCGACCGCAGGAGGAGTCAGAGCACTGAGTAAACTACTCGCAGCAATATTCTGTTTTTCTTCCTTTTCTCTACTCGTCTGACCCGCTGTGTGTTGGAGAGGAGGAACGTCCACACGCAGACTTAGCATCAGAAGCCGTCTTTTGGCCAACGTAATGTTGCTTTCTACTTGTTTTTTTTAGTGTTTCTTCCCAGTTAGAACATCGTTAGACCTCATTTGAAACCTGTAAAGTGACAAATGGCATTTTATTTTATGATTTTTTTTTGTTTGTTTTGCCCCCAAAAAGATATGGGTTTGTACAGAATGTGCAGCGTCTGTTCACACACCGTTATGCAACAGAATTGAACTTGAAGGCTCAGCTTCATACCGTCAGCATTTTCTGGATTTAATTTGTAATGGGTTGTAAATTTTCCACCTGCACAAAATAGCTTACTTCTAAGACTGGACAGAAGTGGATTTGTCATCGGTTTAAATTCAGACTGAAGCGTGAAAATGATGCAGCTGAGCCAATGCTGAACAGTTCTGTCCGTGATTGTTTGTAGACAGTCTGAGAATGTTTTAATCCCCTGAAGGGCAGACTCCAAAGGTTTATTTTTACCACACACACCCAGCCCCCCTGCTTGTGTTGTGTTTGAGTTATTGCTCTGTTGCATTTTGTTTTCTAATAAAACACTTTTACAAAAAAAGAATCCTYTTGATTTAAAAAACAGCATGCAGCAACATGCACAAAGTTAAAAACACAATATGTATTGATCAAAAAAGACTGGTATTTCAGAACTTTATTTAAAATGTAGCATGAATATATATTTTAAAAATACAAATTTAGAAATGTTACAAAGTACATATGTTGCTCATGTTTATACAGGTCCTGATACTTTACCTCTAAGCTGTAGAAAAAAACTAAATAAAGAACAGGGTTTATATAAAAATGAAGTCAACCAACAGAAAACCGATGTATTTTAAAGAATAATAAACATGCAAATGAAACCAAAGTGGAGTTTTATGGCAAACTGCAGCATATWCTGTTCTATTCAAACATTTTTATTGGCTAATACAACTAAGTGCTGGATATGTCATTTTAAAAAGCTTTAGTTTATCAAGCCAAACCWTATTTACTGTGTAACACCTGTTTGCACACAGGTAGACTCAGACTCTGGCCCACTCCCAGCTGCGTAGACGGCGAACACWGAGAAACAGTAATTAGACTTGGGGCTGAGGTCGGTGAGGATGACGCTCTCCCCGTACACGTTCATGTTCTGGTTCCTGTTGGAGCCGTGCTGCTTCGTGATCCRCAGGTTGTAGAAGGTGGCGTGCTCCACTGCAGACCACTGAAGGAAGGTAATTGTTGAGGTGACCTGTGTGACGCTCAGCAGTGGAGCTGAAGAGGACAAGACGGCTGTCAGCAAAGTCCTAAATCATTAAACCCCACCACTTTCCATTCTGGAGTTTGAAACTACAATTATGATAAATGATGTAGTTCGGTCAGCTCGCACATGAGATTGCAACACTGGTGGAGAAAGTACTCAAACACTTAAGTAAAAGCACAGATAAACGGACAAAAGTGTACTCTATAGTATATATTTGCAAAGTAAATGTTACTTTACAAATGTGTTTCAGTTATATTTTGCTAACACCACACAAACAGGCAAAAAAACCACTATCGCAGTTTCACCYTTGGCAATAATAATTTCTAATCGAGTGGCAATAAAAGCGTAACAGTTTGTAATATTTATAATCAGTGTAAATAAAAATGTAAGTGATATCAACAGTGGAGTTCGCAAATGTTAAACTCACCATGGTCTGACACGTGCCCACTGAGATCCCTCTTCCTCCGTGCATGTGTTGTAACTAGACAAAAAAAAAACACGTTACTTTAAAAGGACTTTGTGTTTTGATTTCCCCATCACATCTGGTGTCAGCTCTCACCTTGAGTGATATACACCGGCTCACTTTCTCCTGCTGCGTTGCTGGCTGTGATCAGCAGATTGCTGGAAGCTATGTTGGCCAGAGAGCAGGACAGCCCTGTGGTGGCGCACAGCTGGGTCTTTGGCRTTACGCTGTTGTCATATATGGTGTACGTGCTGGCAAACACCGAAGCAGTCCATGAAACTGTGGCAAAYGAGCTGTTGCCACTGTACGACACGCCCGTTGGGGGGCAAGGTGCTAAAAAAGAGGGGAAAAAGGTTTAAAAATGTGCAAATACTTCATTGTCCTCTAAAGCAGTGGTTCCCAGAGTTGGAGTCAGGACCCACAGTGGGGTCCTGAAACATCAAGGTGTGGTCCAGATAGTGTTGTAGTCAAGACCACGTAACCCGAGACCAAGTCAAGACTAAGACCACAGTGTCTCGAGACCAAGACAAGATGGTTTGGACCAAGTCGAGACCAAGACCAAGGGAGGGCGAGACCGAGACAAGACCAAGACTTTTAGGGTTTGGACCAAGTCGAGACCAAGACCAAGGGAGGGCGAGACCGAGACAAGACCAGATAAAAAAAAAGTGCCCTGAAAGATGGTCTTGGTCTTGTCTCGGACTCGACCACTTTTGTACTYGGTCTTGTCTACAACAGCTAGGGGTCCCGGACTCTGCTGCTGGTGTTTTGTGTGTCAAAAGCTGAAAAGTTTGGGAACCACTGCTCTAAAGTGTGAACGCGCCCTACCTGTTGTTCCATTCAKGGACACGAACTTGTTGCTCACGCCGGCAGCATTCCTGCTCTGCAAYGTGGCGAGGTAGTATGAGCTGCAGGGAAGAGGGATTTCAAAGTAGGATGTTTTTGTCCAGTAGGACGAGAGCTCGAACTGAGAGCTGTTGTCTCCCTGCAGATTTCCCGTCAAAGTCAGCTGGTTCTCCGTTGCCCCGCAGGGCGTCTGTGTCCAGCTGAAGCGCAACACCTGGATCTCCATGACCATCGGCGTCAGCTGCACCTGAGTGGCTGCTGGAGGGCAGGGGACTATGGGCAGAAGAAAAGATTTACAGACGATTATTTTGTTCGTGTTTAAACTCATCCGGTGGCTCGTGCGCACAAMGCCACACAGAGATGAGTGAAAACATTTTCCCTTTTAGGCAGCAGGCCATAATTAGACTTTGCAGAGTTCTTATACCTGCTCCTGTCCGTAAAGGGGCACTGCGGGAGCTGTTGCACGTCCCATCTGAGGCCTGCACTGAGAAGTTGTACACTATTCCACAACCAAGCCCCTGGATAGTGCAGGTAGGGTTGGAGTTGTTACAATAGAGCATGTCTCCGTTATCAGCCTGAGCGTAGACGTAGTACTCCTCAGCGTTCTCACTGGGTGTCCACGTTAACACTGCAGCTTGGTTTTCACAGAGGTGAGTCGCTGACAGTCCACTTGGCTGGCAGGCACCTAAAGACAGAAAGGACATGGTTTAAAATCTCAATCGGAACATGTRATCATTGATGCCATACGCAGTCTGAGGACAGACACCTGTGTTCAGACTGGCACTCGGGCTGGCTTGGCTGGAGCAGTTCTCATGGCTGGCTGTCACCGTCACAGTGTACTGCTGGTCACAGACCAGCTCTGACAGGCTGCAGTTGTTGGCGGTGGTGTTGCACRTGTGTCGCTGTCCGTCCGCAGCCGTGGCCACGACCTGGTAGGTTTCAGCAACMAGAGAAGGAGTCCAGGAGACCAGAGTGTTACGGTCCTCACAGGAGGCGATCACAGTCACATCTGCAGGTGGACAGGGCTCTACGGAAAAACAACAAGATTGTGTGAATGCTAATATTTAACTTTACAAATACTTCCCCGCTGAGAATGCYTCAATTCCTTCAAAAAGATCATTCCCACACACTGTAGCAGACAGGTGTGGGCCAGGTCTGGCAATGATGGAACTGTTKTTAAGAGAAGCCACGTCWGGCCCGGTTGTGGTTTGCTTTTTGTKGTGCTGGCTTCTGGTACATAGACCACCACTGGTAAACCACATCGGGACCACCAAAGGGCCGTYGTTCTTTGAATTATCAGTGCATTGTGTGGGCCAGAAATGGGCCAGACACATTTAGCTATGTGGGTTCTGAGACGTCTGCTTCAACCTACATGCTTTATTTTTGCCTTATGCTGATTGTAGCCTTTTGCTACTGTCTCACTACAGTRTTTTCTCATTGACAATAAATAGAGCTGWTTTCAACAACCTTTMAAATGTTCATAAAYCTTTATTGTACTCTTTATTTTTTGGTTTTGGTCCACATAGCAAAAGCATTTTTTGCTTCTTTGTGCCAATTTAAACATTTTATTTTCTATTTAACTAATTTATTTTGCTTTTTCAAACTGACCATACTGCTATTCTTCCAACTGTTTTGTGCTTCTTTCAGCTGCTTTCTGTGTTTTAGCTTCTTTTTAGTTAATTTGAGCTACTTGTTTAAGATAAAATTTATCTTTTTGTGATCATTTCAGCCTCTTAYTGCTTAATTCAGYAAACATRCTCCTTCAGCTTTTTTCCTAATTTCATTTTTCAGCTAGAGTTTAGCATTTTTTGTGCTGTTTGATTTAGCTAATTTACAACAAATTGCAACTTTTTTGTACTCCTTTTCTTGATTTTCTGCAAATTAAACCATCCGTCTGCTAATTTCTTGGTTTTACCTTTTAGCTAYTTTTCCCCTTGTTTAGCATGTTTTAGTTACTTTTCCTCTAATTTAATCTGTTTTATGCTGAATTAAGTGCATTCACCTTCAACTGAATCATATTTAAAGATAATGAGCTAAATTTTGCTGCTTCTTCAGCAGTTTTCAGCAAAAATCTTTCAGCGTTTAGCATTTACGCCACATCTTCAGCAGRAAACCCAAATTCTCTCCTTTAATTTACAGTTTAGCATCTTGGATTGGTTCTGCAGCTAAAACATGTCTCGAAACGATCCCCTCTAACTTGCTTACAGTCTTTATTCTCCAATATTGAATGCATTTTTAAAACACAGCACYAGTTGTTACAGTGTTTTTAAGAGACAATTAAAAAGGTACCCATGCTAATCCTGTAGGGAGGGCTCCTCAAGTCGCTGCAGTGGTCTGTGGAAGCAGCAACACTGATGGTGTACCGGAGGCCACACTGGGCTCCGTGGAGGCTGCAGCTGCTGCCCGTGTCATTGCAAGTCAAGGAGGTGAGGTCACTGGCTACTGCTGTGGCGGTGTACACAGTGTTTCCCCCGAGGCTGTCCCACACAACGAGGATGGAGGAGTTGTGGCACTGAGYCAAGACGGTGATACTTGAGAGCGAGCAAGGTGCTGAAGGAGAAGATAGMTTTCTTTGTAGCAAACAGTAATAGTCAGTGTAAAACTTTTAAATGACCTCAAATCTGACTGAAGTACCTGTCTGCAAGCTGATGGAGGCACTTGGTGGACCCTGACAGTGGCTGTTTTTTGCAGTGACAGTGAAGTTATAGAGAACGCCACAGGCCAGGTCTTCCACCTCACATGTAGTGTTGGTGGAGGTGGTGCAGTTGGCTCGGTGGTTTTCTCCTACAGCCAACACGGTGTAGCTCTCCGCCCCAGGAGAGGCACTCCATGAGATCCAGGCAGAGTTGGTCACACAGTTGAGGTCCCCTTTGACTCCCTGAGGCTGGCATGGAGCTAGGAAGAACACACCAGGGGGAGACCTGTTCACATTTACCCCTGTTTACAGGTTTATGTCTAATCTGATGTTTTTTTGCTGTCATACCTGACTGTATCACCTGGGACTGAACATGCTCGCTGTGACAGCCGCCTCTCACTGAGGTGACCTGAACGGCGAACGTATTCCCACATGTTACGTTGCTCGTGGAACACGCAGGGTTCGTGGTGTTGCAGATCTCAGTAGTTCCTCCGTTCCCGTCGGTTACTGACACCAGAAAGTGGTCGACTTCTCTAACAGCATCCCAGGAAATGGTCAGGTCGTTGGACGAACAGCTGAGCTGGGCACTCAGGTTCTGAGGCTGGCAGGGTCCTGGGAACAMTAAAACCAGTTGGAGATCATTTCATCTCAACATGTTAACTGGTGAAACGTCTCCTTTTACCTGAGTCAAACACCACGGCCTGGCTGGGCGCGCTGAGGCAACTGTCATCTCTGGCTGCGACCTGAATGACGTAGCTGCTGCCGCACGTGAGGCAGCTGAGGTCGGAGGCCTGGCAGCTGCTGTCGACGTGACTGCTGTTGGTCAACAGCAGGTACTGCGTGGCACCGCGACTGGGAGACCAGGTCGCAGCAGCAGAGTTGTTGGAGCAGTCCACGAGCACTGAGACGTTAGTGGGAACACATGGCACTGTGTGTTCAAATGAAAAGAAAAAGGTTTACTATCAGGTTTGTTTTACAAACACAATGTCACAGTTTAGTTCTTTTAAAGGGATCCATGATTAGTTGTAACATTAGACTTTATAAACATATATTTAAACTGTAAAATAAACACTGTAAAAATACTGTAGGATGTTTAGTAAATTAAAAAAATAAATTTTAACACAGACAGAGCCATTTTATTTATATACAAAACATTCTGGGTAAATGACGACGTGGATAGGTCCTCTGTGTGAGGCTGCTAGCGAGCTATATCCACCCTGAAGGTTAATCTTGGACAAAATCTGATGATCGACTCTTTTAAATGAAACCAGAGAGCGTTGACAGAGAGGAGAAGGTAGAAATGACTCAGCCTGTAACTGAAAATATAGATGGAGGACAACAGAGCTGCTTCATGGAAGAAGAACCTCAGCTTAGCCTGTTAGCTTTAGCGTTAGCCTTGATGCTATCACCATATATATGTATTAGCTCAGCGCTACACATTCTCCTCTCGTCACTGTGGTCCTCCATCCACATGGCAGAGAGGGGAACACAAAAATGACTCAGCCTGCAACTGAAAATATGGATGGAGGACCTCAGTTTAGCTTGTTTGTCGCGCTAGCACCGAGCTAATACATATAAGGCAATATAGCATCGGTGCTAGCGCAAAGGCTAACAGGCTAAGCTAAGGTTCTTCTTCCATGAAGCAGCTCTGTTGTCCTCCATCCAAATTTTTAGTTGTAGACTGAATCGTTTCTACCTTCTCCTCTCTGTCAACGCTCTCTGGTTTSATTTAAAAGAGTCGATCGTCAGATATTGTTCAAGATTAACCTTCAGGGTGGATATAGCTCGCTCACACAGAGGACCTATCCAGGCCATCATTTACCCAGAATGTTTTGTGTGTAAATAAAATGGCTTTGTCCGTGTTAAAATGTATTTTTAAAAAATTTACTAAACTGAACAGCCTACAGTATTTTTACAGTCTTTATTTTACAGTTAAAATTTTTGTTTATCAAATAAAGTCTAATGTTACAACTAATCATGGATCCCTTTAAACAAAAATGAAGCCAGATTTGAACCATTTTCAGAAACCCAGTCATGTTGTCTGGGCATGAGTTGATTTGAAATGAACTGAAGAAAAACTAAAAACTGTTCTGGGGTCAGATGCACCAAGATTTGAATTCTTTTTGAAAACCAGAGGTGCCACATCTTTTATATACAGGAGGAAAAGACCATCCCATCTGTTAGCACACAGTTCAAAAGCCTGCCTCTCTGATGGTATGGGGGTGCATTAGTGCCTATGGCATGGGCTGCTTGCACATTTGGAAAGTCACCATTAATGCAGAAAAGTGTACATAGTGCCCACATTCAGAGTACATCTTATTTTAGTTTAATCGGTTTGTATGTTTACACTGTTCTTTTGTAAATAAATGCATGTGAGTAGCAGGAGCATACAGCTGCTTGTAGCTGACCTGATTGCAGGCTGGTGGTCTCAGTGGAGGTGATGCTACACTGCTGGTTGGATGCTGTGACCGACACAGAGAAGTTATGCCCACACGGCAGAGGAGGAAGGCTGCACCAACTGTTTCCCGAAGTGCACGTTTCTAAGATGCCGGAGTCTGACTGCATGGATGCTGTGTAGCTGTTCGAACCATCGCTGGCCTGCCAGATTATCGTGACGATGCCAGAGGTACAATTCTGCGTGGTAGAGATTCCTGATGGTACGCATGGCCCTGTAAATAAAACAAGAAACATTCACTTTAACTGCAAATGACTTGAGTTAAATCTTGCTATTAYAAACAGTGCGTACATGTCTGCACAGAGGTCTGTGCACTTGAGCTGCCGGTACAGTGCTGGTTTTGAGGTGTGACCGTYAGGTTGTAGAGTTTTCCACAGAAAAACTCAGAGATGAGGACTTTAGTGGTGTTAGTGTTGAAACTAAKTGACGTGACTCCAGTCTGAGCTGATATAAAATACTGCTCCGCTCCATCGCTGCCAGCCCAGCTCAGAGTCACGGCCTTCAGATTACAGCTCACAGCAGCAGACAAATTCTGAGGCGTGCAGGGATCTGGAAGGAGGTAAAAATATCCTGTCAGTACTGCTCATTCCTCTTTAATTTGTGTGACATTTTTACTGTTCTGAATTTTTTTTTAAAATCTTTTAACGTTACCCATGTGGATGAGAGAGCTGTTGCTTGGCGGGCTGCTGCAGTTGTCAGCCTTGGCGTGCACTACGACAGTGTACACGTCCCCACAGCGCAGGTCGGTCCACGTGCAGGAAGTGGTGTTGGAGAGGCACTGGTGAGCGTGGCCGTCCTGGCCAGTTGCTACRGCAACGTATGATTCAGCACCATCACTGGGACTCCAGCTGACAGAGCCTCTGTCCATCTCACACTGCAGAGAGGGAGCCACGTGTGAGGGAGTGCATGGACCTGTGGAGAGAGGAGGGACACGAGTCACAGGTAAAACAAAACAAATGCAAAGTCAAAACTAGAAAAAAAATGATTTTTTTCTGTGAAAACTAAGTGACGATGACGGCTGAAATCTGATAAAAACACTGAAATTGAGTTAATAATGTTACTAGCCATGCAGCTAGTTTTGCAAAACATTAGCTAAAAGCAGTAAAATGGTAGCTGGAAGCTAATAGTAGAGAAATGAAAGCTAAATGCTAGTTGTAGCCAAAGGCTACCTAAATACAGCCAGCGGTGGGCAGCACTAATCTGAAAATTGGTTCCACTAGCCCTAAAACACTAACTCAGATATTTAGGTCCCATAATTCTAAAGCACTAATGAACTGAAAGTTTTAGCAAAAGCTAATTCTAAAGCACTAAAATAACCCAGTCAACCCATGAACATTCTTCAACAAACAAGTCACATGTTGTCATGTTGCTCTATTAAGACTTATTGACATTCCTCAGCTGTATTTGGGTTCATATATTGTCAATATGTCACCTGGTGGATAAGTGACACACAAATGAACAAAATGTGTGACAGCTTTCACCCTCAGCTGTTAAYATTAMYGTTKATCAATAACATTTAWAGACCTSAGWTAGTGCTTCTAAATTTAGCCTATAAATTTAGCAAGTGATAATCCACTAATGAATTTTAAAATTAGCAAAAACCCTAAAGCACTAATCAGGAAATGTTCCCCTATTAGTGCTTTAGTGGAACTGTGCCCACCACTGAATACAGTGAATAGTTTGCTAACGCTTTTGAAAAGCAAAAGTCTGGCTTAGAAATAAAGTAGAAAAAGTGCAGCTAAAACAACTAAAAAGGATTCTTAAAAGTACCAAAWAGGCTGACTAAAAGCTAATATTAGCAGAATGAGAGCTAATAGCAAAAACTATCATACAGCAAGTCAAAATCGGCAAAAGCTTAGCTAAAAGTTAATAGTAGAATGATAATTAATAGCTAAGACAATCAAATTGCAAGCTAAAAGTGGCAAAACCTAGCTAATCAGAATCTGAATTAGAAACACTTTATAGCCATTGTCGGTAAACGAGTTACAGACTAGGAATTTGCTCTGGTGTAATGGTGCGCATAAGCAAGCAGTAAGAGAACTAAAGCTAAGTGGTTGAAGTGAGGAAGGGAAACTAAAAGCTAAAAGTAGCAAAAGGATAAAGGGTAAAAGTCACAAAAACCCAGTCAAAGGTTTAAATCAGCAGAATAATAGCTAAAAATCTAAAGTAGCAAAAGAAAAACATGCAGAATGATTTGGATTACAAACATGTTCAAGATAATAAAACAGGACAACAAAGTGGAAATGCTGAATCAGCATTCACACATTATACTGCTTGTCTGCTGGACAATAAAAGCAAAAATACCAGTTTTGAAGCAGAAAGGAGTACTGGAGATGCTGTCACACTTGCTGCCGTGTGCTTGAACAGTCACATTATAGTGTTGTCCACAAGGTAAAGTGGCTGAAAGAACAGTTTGGTTGGTGTTGAAGACCTCCACGTGTCCAAGGTTTCCTCTGGCTGTAACCACATAATTCACAGCACCGGCTGCTTGGTGCCAGGACATCTGGACCTCCTCACTGTCGCAGACCTTCTGAGCAGAAACACTCACAGGCTGACAAGGCTCTGACAGGAGAGAGAGAGAGAGCGAAAACAGTCAATATGGTAAAATTTGTAAATCGTTTTCAAGTGATTAAAGATMATTTAAAATGTTCAAACTTGCTGTGATGTACCCATGTGGATGACAGAGCTGTTGCTTGGCAGGCTGCTGCAGTTGTCAGCCTTGGCGTGCACTACGACAGTGTACACGTCCCCACAGTGCAGGTCGGTCCACGTGCAGGAAGTGGTGTTGGAGAGGCACTGGTGAGCGTGGCCGTCCTGGCCAGTTGCTACAGCAACGTATGATTCAGCACCATCACTGGGACTCCAGCTGACAGAGCCTCTGTCCATCTCACACTGCAGAGAGGGAGCCACGTGTGAGGGAGTGCATGGACCTGTGGAGAGAGGAGGGACACGAGTCACAGGTAAAACACAACAAATGCAAAGTCAAAACTAAATAAATGCTTTTTTCTGTGAAAACTAAGTGATGATGACGGCTGAAATCTGATAAAAAGGCTGAAAATGAGTCATTAATGCAATAAGTACCAAAATATTAGCTAAAGGCAGTAAAATGGTAGCTGGACACCAATGGTGAAAAAAAGACTAGCCAAAAGTTAATTTTAGCTAAAGGCTACCAAAATACAGCAAATGCTAAAAGCTAAAATAAAGCAAAACACAAGATAAGAGTTGAAGTAGAAAAGGTGTAGCTGCTGAGAAAAAGATAATATTAGCAGATAATAGCCAAMATTATTGAATATCTTGCTAACAATAGCAAAAGGCTAGCTTAAGGTTATTTTAGGAGAAGGGTGGATGAAAATAGTTAAAAACTAAAAGTCATCAAATTCCAGCTAAAAGCTAAAATTAGCCAAATAGTGCCTAAAAATTAAAGGTGACAAAATAAAGACAAAAATAGAGTAAGAGTGCTGAAGCTGATTTCAATATTTTGGAAGGAGTTTGATTTCAATGTTTCTTTATGGGGAAACTATACTGCTCAAAAAAATAAAGGGAACACTTRAACAACGCACGCTAAGTCCAAGTAAATCAAACTTTTGTGAAGCACATTCAACTCTGTACAGAACAAAGTACTCAATGCGAATATTTCATTGATCAAGATCGGGAGTTAGCGTGCGTTGTTTAAGTGTTCCCTTTATTTTTTTGAGCAGTGTATATGTAAACAAATTTAAATATTCTAAGAAGTATAAGCTACAAAAACCAAAACTCAGCACCCGTTCCCTACATGAGCTGAACGTTTTGATATGAATGGCTAAAGTAGCAAAAYGTGGGCACAACTAGTTAGGTTACAAAACTGTACAGGTTAAAAATAATAAAACAAGAGAACAATGGAAATGCTGAATCAGCATTCACCCAACATTGTAATAATGTTGTGCAGCATGATGGCTCAGTGGTTAGCACTGACGCCTCACAGCAAGAAGTTGCTGGGTTCGTTCCCCGGTTAGGACCTGGGGTCTTTCTGTGTGGAGGTTACAAGTTCTCCTTGTGCTTGCGTGGGTTTTCTCCGGGTTCTCTGGTTTCCCCCACCCCCAAAAACATGTACAATAGGTTGCCTTCAGGCCCAGGCCTCCCTTGAAAAAGAGACCTGAGATCTCAAAGGGACTTGCCTGGTTAAATAACAGTGAATTATACTGCTTGTCTGCTGGACAATAAAAGCATAAATACCAGTTTTGAAGCAGAAAGGAGTACTGGAGATGCTGTCACACTTGCTGCCGTGTGCTTGAACAGTCACATTATAGTGTTGTCCACAAGGTAAAGTGGCTGAAAGAACAGTTTGGTTGGTGTTGAAGACCTCCAYGTGTCCAAGGTTTCCTCTGGCTGTAACCACATAATTCACAGCACCGGCTGCTTGGTGCCAGGACATCTGGACCTCCTCACTGTCGCAGACCTTCTGAGCAGAAACACTCACAGGCTGACAAGGCTCTGACAGGAGAGAGAGAGAGAACAGTCATTGTGTTGAGCTGTCCTCCAGGACAGGTTGTATCCGTCTTCAGYCTCTGTACCTGTTTGGATGAGTACGGTGTTACTGGTCAGGCTCCAGCAGCCCTGACCGTACGCTCTGACTGTAAAGGTATACGTTTCTCCACAGTCCAGGCCAGAAAACCGACAGCTCGAGCCTGTGGAGTTGTATTTTGTTACGTCTCCCCCTGAAGYTTTGATTGCACTTGCTGTGTACAGCTCAACATCAGGTTGTCCCTCCCAGGACAGGTCAGCGGTACGAGAGCCACACTGCATGCTGACGGCCACACTCTGAGGAGGGCAGGGCCCTGTTAAAGAAAAGGTGTTGGATGGAGAAATATTCACCTTGTGGACAAACAGACTGAACGCTGCCATGAAAGGAGCTGTGTTTTAAACGTACGTGTGGTGAGGTTGACATGCACCGGCGCAGTGAGGCTGTACTGCTCGTTGCTGGTGGCGAGGCTGAGACTGTACGTCTCCCCGCAGCTTAAACCTGTCACGTTACAGCCGCTCTGCTGGGTGGTGCACAGAGTTTGAAGAGTCCCTCCAACGAGGGCCTTCAGCGAAACGTTTGCTGCGCCGGAGGTTGAGCTCCAGGACACCGCAGCGTCACCGTCAGACTCGCAGCTGACGTCAACATGAAGCTGGCTGGGCAGGCAGGGAGCTGAGGAAAAGAAAAACAAAAATAAAAATGAAGCAATCACCAAACACACACCGGCACTCACACGGATCTGTACCTGTGGTGAGGTACCCCGCCATCTGAGCGGAGCTGTTACACGTCTCTCCAACTGCAACGACGGTGACGTTGTACTCCTCTCCACACTGCAGGGAGCTCTGCTGGCAGCCGGTCAGGTTGGTGGAGCAGCGGCTAGCGTGGCCCGATGAAGACGTCATCAGGCCGACGTAATACTCCGCTCCTGCTCCGGGCTGCCAGGACACGGTCGCAGTTTGGGCAACGTCCAGAACAGCTCCGATGCTGCTCGGTTTGCACGGTCCTGGAGCAAAATGTAAAATACTTTTATTATTTGGAAAAACTTAAATATTTAGGAATATAATGTCACACGTAATTTACATTTATAATGGTAAAGGTAATGGCTATATGTGTGTTAACTATTGTTCTGTTACCAGCCTGATACTAGCAGCTTTACTAGAACTAGTACTCATACAAAATGCACTGATACCTGGATCAGATACCAATACTGATTTAGATACTGGATACTCMGTTGAATGTGTTACAGTTTACATTTCAAGAGAAGTTTGTCAGTTCCACGTTTAACAAAGTTACAAGTTGAAAGAATAAAAGAAAAGTCATTGTGTGACTCAGTAAAAACCCAATATCAGTACTCGGCATTGATGAGTACCCAAACTAAAATACTCGTATTTACAGTCAGTTTGAGAAAAACTGGTGTCAGGACATCACAACTGTTAATGTTTCAGCTAATTTTATATCAGCTCCTAGTTCCCTGTTTCTAAATGTGATTTTTAAGGTACATTCATAATAAAGAATGATTAAAAAATGATTAATGGTGAGACTTAAATTTCATCAAAGTCATCGAAAATACTGAATACATTCAGGGATTCAAACAGGCAACACATAAACATTGTATTTATTTTACTACTAAATACAATAATTGTTCTAGATCTGGTCATTTTGGTAAATACTTGTACCCAAAAATGAGTAAATGAGAAATGCGCTGTTCTAAAACAATTAAAGATGATACAAAATATTATGTGTCTTCTCTTATTTTATAATAAATGTTTGTGTGTATTTTGCAGTTTAAAGACTAGAGATGGTTCAATTTGACAAAAACRGCTTTGTAAGGACGATTCCAGAGTTAAAACACCCTACAAAGCTAATGTTCAAAATAAAAATAAAAATTTGTGGAATTCTRTAAAAATATGTCTTCGTTTTAGTAAATTTGTTCATCTGTTAAAATAAGAACATTTCATTGTAAAAAAGCTCACTTTTCTTAATTTTTCCAACATTCAAATAATAAAAACTTAAAGACAATCAAGACGCTGCTGCAGCAGCTCTGTGAGATCAATAAACAAACAGTCTGTAAATTATATTCAAATCAAAACTCTTTTTTTATTTATTTATTTTTTTGGTGGCCTTGAATTTTGAGCAGAACATGA